CTCTCTCTCTCTCTCTCTCTCTCTCTATATATATATATATATATATATATATATATATATATGTATATATATATTCATCTCTATATATATGTATATGTGTGTATATATATATATATATTTCTTTCTTTCTCCATGCTCGCTTACTCACTCACCCACCCTCTTGCTTGCAGACTCACTGATTCAGGTTAAATAGACGAATGTAGGAACCAACAATATATGGCCAAGGTATATACCCATGGATGATACATCGTGATGAGAAGAATACATTAAAAAAAGATCTTTCCATTTACGTCGTTCAATATACGTGCACACGTCGATAGTTAGGACTCCAGAAATAATTTTTCTTGCATCCTATTTTCGCTATTTGCATAAATCTTTAATCTCCGAGTTTATACGTATTTAATTTTTTCATTTATTTCACGCCTATGATTTCGAATATAGATAAAAAAATAATTGTTTGATCTCATGGTTTTTATTTGTGTATGTACAAGTACAAGTTTTTGTTTTATTATTAAAATTGTTGTTTTTTCTTATTTTTTTTCTCTTATCAAACCAAATATTACAAAATATGAAATAAAGTATAAGGTTTATTTGTATCTTCATTTGAAAAAATTTTTCAATTTTTGTTTTATGAATTTTGTAACAAAATAAATCATGAAAATTAAAATCTTATTTATTATAAATTTACAAATGATTAATTTGAAAGTATTAATAACTATTAAAAAAGAATGAACAGAAAGTAATGCATTATAAAAAGCCATGAGTACAAGCATAGCAACCACAAAAATATATTTGATAGAATTTACCAAGGCTGATAAATTATACTACCGTATAAAAATCATATTTTTAAATATATACAAAAAATATAATAAAATTAATGTGATAATATTTTGGATTTAGATTTCTTTTAGTAAACATGTGCATTTACTTAGTAAACTTTTTGTTTTAGTGTGAGAAGCGTAATGCATAAATATCTTGAGAAGAAGAACGAAGTAAATTTCGATAAAATATTTAATCAAATGTTAGGTGTGTATAAATATTATTTCTAATATCTATCTAATTTTTACATATAAAATTTACATAAAATCTTCTTTTTCAGGTTATCTTTTATTCAAAGACTTCTGTGAAACTGTAGCAGAGGAACCAATTCCACAACTTAGGTTTTATGAAGAGGTTTGCGTTGCCCTACAGAAATTAGTTAAATCTGGTAGAGTTTTATCATATTTTTCTATTCAACTTTATACGAAATTTTTTATTTATGGATTTTAGATTAAAGCTTATGAAAAACTTGAATGCCCTGAAGAAAGGAGAAAACTTGCTAGAGAAATCTATGATAATTTCATCATGAAAGAGTTGCTTGCACATGCACATGTAAGTATATTTTGAATGAATATGCATTAAAAAATAATTTTGAAAAATTATAATATTAATTGACATATTTGTTTATTGTGTTTGTTTTATAGGAATACTCAGCAGAAGCTGTTTCTCACGTACATAAGTACCTTATGAAAAATGAAGTTCCCATTAATTTGTTTGAGGTATATATTATTTCAAGAGAAAAATATATCTCTTAAATATTATATTAAAATTAAAATGATCATTGTTTTAGCCTTATATAGAAGAAATTTTTAATCATTTACGAGGCGAACCATTTAAGAAGTTCTTGGAAAGGTAAGTGGTTGTGTTTATGTGTGTCATATCAATATTAAATAATAAACATATTTAATGCAAATGTATTTTTAGTGATAAATACACTCGTTTTTGTCAGTGGAAGAATTTAGAATTAAACATTCAGGTATAGTCGTGTCATTGTATTTCTAGTAAATTTATATCGGTGAAATTGATCACACGAATTTGTATTTTTACAGCTGACGATGAACGATTTTAGTGTACATCGGATTATAGGAAGAGGTGGATTTGGTGAAGTTTATGGTTGTCGAAAAGCAGATACTGGGAAAATGTATGCTATGAAGTGCCTCGATAAAAAACGTATAAAAATGAAACAGGGTGAAACCTTGGCACTTAACGAAAGGATAATGCTCTCTCTAGTCAGTACTGGGGTAAGAATTGCAATAAGATGTAGTAGAAAATATTGATAACTGTATCATTTCCTTTATATTTAATTGTTATATGTATATTTTAGGTGGATTGCCCATTTATAGTATGTATGACATACGCATTCCACACGCCAGATAAATTATGTTTTATATTGGATTTAATGAATGGAGGTGATTTACATTATCATTTAAGTCAACATGGCGTATTTAACGAGCCAGAAATGAAATTTTATGCAGCCGAAGTAATTCTTGGATTAGAGCATATGCATCGCAGATATATAGTATATCGTGATTTAAAACCAGCAAATATTCTCTTAGATGAACATGGACACGTAAGAATATCAGATTTAGGATTAGCATGTGACTTTTCAAAAAAGAAACCACATGCGAGCGTGTAAGTATAAGAGTATTCTAGATAGCCGAGCTTTTATATTTTTAAACATATCTGATATGTTTAATCTTAATTATATCTTAAAAATAATGATCATCTCTTAGAGGTACACATGGATACATGGCACCGGAAGTTCTTTCAAAAGGTACACCGTATGATTCGAGCGCGGACTGGTTCTCCTTTGGATGTATGTTGTATAAGCTTTTGAAAGGACACAGTCCTTTCAGACAACATAAAACTAAGGATAAACATGAAATTGACCGCATGACTCTCACTATGGTTGGTTTATATTTCAATTACCTAAATATTTATCAAATAATATAGTAATTATAAACACATTTTCCTTTTGAATTTATATTCCAGAATGTAGAATTACCCGAAACATTTTCGAGAGAACTGCGATCGCTTTTAGAAGGTTTACTACAAAGAGACATCAATAGCAGGCTTGGATGTCGTGGAGGAGGAGCTGATGAATTAAAAGAGCATCCATTTTTTAACGGGATAGATTGGCAGCAGGTCTATTTGCAAAAATATACACCTCCTTTAATACCACCTCGTGGAGAAGTGAATGCTGCAGACGCTTTCGATATTGGTTCATTCGATGAGGAAGACACGAAAGGCATCAAACTGACCGATGCTGATCAAGACCTATATAAAAATTTTCCTCTTGTTATTTCTGAAAGGTGGCAAGCTGAAGTAGCCGAAACAGTTTTTGAGACAATTAACAACGAAGCAGATAAGGTATATAATTATAATATAATGCAATAATTTTACTCATATATTGTCATTAAGTTTTCAATAAAAATTACTCGCAGATGGAAAACAAGAAAAAAGCGAAACAAAAATTGCGATTTGATATTGACGACGAAAAAGGTGAAAATTTTTTACGCCACTGCAATATTGTTTTTTGCGGTGTATTTACATCATTAATAAAAATTACAATGTAATTATTTCAGGCTCTGATTGTATTTTACACGGATATATAAAAAAATTAGGAGGTCCTTTTGCAAGCGCTTGGCAGACACGTTATGCTAAGTTATACCCAAATCGATTAGAGTTGCATCCAGAATCTGCTACAAAACCTGAACTCGTATTCCTAGATCAGGTTGATATTTCATTATATTTCACTGTATTTTATGTTACATGAAATTTTTTTACTTTTCTACCTTTGTTTTTTTTCCATTTGTACAACGTAAATAACGGATAAGAAATATTTACGAATTTTTAGATAGAGGAAGTTGGAGCTGACCTACAGCATGTAAAAGGAGAACAATGTATTGTTGTTCGTACGAAGGATGCCAAAATTGTACTTACGAATCCTGTAAGTCACTTAACTTATTCGATTAAGCGCTCAAATTCACGTGCATACATGAACATATTTTAAGAATGTTACAATATATAAATGAAAAAAATGTAAGATATAGTTTAAATCTTTAATGGATTAATGAATATTTTCTATAGGACGAGATAAGTTTAAAAGAGTGGGCATTGTCATTAAGATCAGCACACAAATGTTCGATGGAGATGCTCGGTAATATGGCAAGAAAAGCTGGCAAGATTTATGGGACTGAACGTGATGCCGTGATTCCGGCGATGCAGCGTTCAACGAACGGCAACTAGCCCATTATTAGTATGTGTGCATCGACATACTCCAGTCCCACTGCCCCGCAGCAACAGCAGCAGCAACTTTTTTTATACTAAGAAATAATGGCAAAGAAGAATAAGATAAGAAGAAAAAAAAAGAAAATTAGAACGGGCACGTTACGTTAGAAGAGCTCGTTGGATTTTCTGTAATTTAAAACTGAGACATCTTTCCCATCTCACACCCTCCTCCCCCAACTTTTGCCCTAATCTCAATTCCAATATACCACATATGGATGATACAAATCGTCCCCAAAGAAGAAGTTCCCTTGTATGGCGGTTAGTACCGCACTGTATAGAGACTCTAGAAAGTAGTGTCGTTTAATAACATACAAGGGCCGAGAGTGAGTCCACACTTAGACTTGGGCGTTCTAGTTTATTCGCTCGGATGCATAGCGTCACGTCATTATATTTGTACGTTAGCTCTATGTGCAATGTGACGTAGTAAACTAGCGACCGAAATCATCGACACACGCAACAGCATACGAAGATTATGGTGATGAAGGAGAAGTTCACGCGATAAAGAAAACAATCACGAAATGAACTTGATAATATGTTATAATATCATTATTACACCACGGAAATCGTATTCTAATTACTCTTCCGCGTTGTACTGTTCATTTACTTAATTTATTTACACAATGCAGGACGGTTTTATATTATCTCTAAGGATAACAAAAAAAAAACGATTTATTATTTATTATGTTATTGTACTAAGAAAGATAAAAAGAAAAATAGAGCGAGTATGTATGTACGTAGGTGTATATGTGGTATGTATGACGCATGCTTGTATGTAGAACGAACGAAAGAAAGAAAAAGAGTAAAAGAGAAATCGTATATTGTTGTAACTGTGTACGCTTGGGTAGATGTAATACGTGCATCTACCCTGGCAATAAAACATGCGACGAACGTAATGAACAAGCTTCATTTTTATTTTAATTTTTCCATTTATAACATCGACTAATATTATCTATTACGAATTTCTCTCAATAGAAGAGCCAACTGAGAATCTACGCTGATCGAATCAAGTCGTCTTTCCAACATTTCGAAGTCCAGCCTTTCTAACCACGTAGGAGGATCAATTTGTTTGGTTGGAAGAGGACATAACAATCTTTCTGCTGCTGCACATACGCCACACCAGGTTCGAAAGTTTAACGGTTCGGAAATATTCCCTAGAAAGCTGTTGAAACGTGCTTGCTGTTCATCAGTCAGTGTCCTCCCAATTGCATCTTGAAGAGCTTCTTGAACATCGTTTGGGGAAATGTATCGGCTCCCTTGTAAGGTTTCCTCATGGAACCTGATAAAAGTTCGACTGTATATTAACTTTCTTCCGGGATTCACGAAGACGTGCCTGCTCAGATAAACTAGTACCGTGATTCCTAAAAAGAGATTCTTACATCATACATCGATAATTATTTGTATTATTTTTATATTATATTTCGTACCTTTAAAAACAAAACAAAGAAAATGTTATGCATATACATACCACGTAAACTTTGGCTATCTAGAATCTCAAAACGAGCAGTTTGTCGTGAAAATACACGTGGTACATCTTGCATCGGTGATACTGAAGTTCGGCACGTTCCACGCAAAGCGAAATGAGTTTCACCTTTAACTTTTAGAGCCTCTTCGAATGCAATTTTTCTCTGAAATTTTTTTTTTCGTACATATTAAATAAATTCGGTTATATTTTGATTAAAAATTGTTCTTTCTAATCTTTTTTTTTCTCTCTCTCTCACTCTTATATTTTTAAAATAATAATTTACCTTCATCGAAAATTCCGCTTCGACTTTATCGCGATTTAATTCTCTGCACAAATGTTTCAGAATTTCTATCGGTATAAAACTGGAATGCATCGTCTGTTCTACCAAAGAAACCATTACTTTTTCCGAAGATACTACCGTATAAGAATCACCAGTAAGCGGATGAACTCTGTAAACAATAGTTTCATTTAATTGCACAATATAACGCGTTTTTATACATTATGCAGAACAATTATATAATCATACTGCTTTCGTTAGTCGTACAAGTACATATACAACGTAGTAAGTACATATTTATAAAAATTTATACATATAGGATAGTGGTATGTGTGTGTGTGTGTGCGCGCGCGCGTGCATACAGAGTTCTCAACAAAAGTGTCCACCAAGATTATTATGAAATCTAACGATTTTTTTTTTTTAAAACGCCAAGATAGGTCCTTATAATTTCACTCATTTCAGACTAAACCTTTAAGGAGGATGACAATCCTATCAAAAATCTTAAATAGTAACAGAGGTCAAATAGCATATCCTTTAAAAGATCTTTTAATTCTTTTTACAATGATGCTATTTTTTTTTAATTTTGAGTTAATAATTTCTGAGAAAATGCATTTCAAAGTTTCAGATTGAAAACAACTTCTATTTTATTAAACATTTAAAATATGTATTGCCGTTCATGCAGTAATAAAATCTTTGTTCAATGTTATATCGAATTATTCACAGTACATCCAGTCTAATTCGCAGTAAATCCAATCTAATCTTCTAATAAAATCTGAAGTTCTAATGACACTGATTGAGAGGCATATATTCTGGATTGTAAATATCCCCATAGAAAAAAATCAAAAGGTGTAAATTATCGGGAAAATGATGGTTTAGAAACTGTCATATTGGAGCTGTATAGTATGAAGAAGTTACATCGTGTTGAAAACACACTTTTTCCGACATACTAAAGTCATTTTGAATAATTTCTATGATCAATGAATAAATCTAGCTCTCAAATAAATCAAAATACAACTCTTTTGTCAAATTATTTAAGAAGTGTAAATCAACAATTTTATTACTGAAGATACGAGTTTACAAATTCACCAAAATACATTGGGTGTACTGTAGAATTGAGTAACATTGAACAAAGACTTTATTACTGCATGGAATTCAGCGATACACATTTTGAATATTTAACAAAATGGAAGTTATGTTCAACCTGAAATTCGAAATGCATTAACTAGAGAATTATTGATTCAAAATTAAAAAAAAATAGTACCATTGTAAAAAAATTAAAAGATTTTTCAAATGATATGCTATTTGACCCTTGATGGATAAATATATGATGAAAAGCCATTTTTATCTTAAAAAAAATAAAAAAAGAATAAAAATGACTTTCCTCAGCGTTTTAAAAAAAAATCACTATATTTTATAATAGTTTCGGTAAGCACTTCGTTGGGACACTTTGTATATATATATATATGTATATAAATGACGAAACTAACGAAATTCGTCTGGATTCATTTTCAGTTTGCGAGATCTGTGTTTCTGGTGGTTCAAATGGATCCCGAACTTCCGTCTGTTGTCCATAAATCGAATTTCTTCTGCATTTCCTTTTACGTAATTTTTTTCCTCGCCTTCGTACAACCGTAGGTTCATCACTGCTGTTGTTAACATCGTTGTTTATGATCTTAAGATGATACATTTTTATGAATGAAATATGAATTATTAAATTAACATCAATTATAAATAAGTATATACAAAGCTTTACCGTTTCACAGGTTTCAACATTCAAGGAAGAAGGAAAAACAAATGGTACTGGACGTGTTACCGAAGCAAAAGATCGACGTCGAGATAACGGTTTACTGCTGATGATCTGACTCTTTCTAGGGACTGGTAGAACTTCTAAAGTCAATGCATGCCAAGTGAAAGTTTCATTGTCCTAAAAAAGATAGCAAATTTACTGACCATCGTGTCTTATATGAAACATTGAGATTGGTGAGATTCAACGAAGTACATAATTAAATAAAATCATATAATCAAAGTAAATTATAAAATTGTAGAATGAGTGTATTTCGTTGTACGATAAACTATTACACGTACAATTCACTGTGCGATGGATTGTCATGCAATTTTTTTTTTAAGTTAATACAATCACAGGATTGAGTACGTGAAAGAGAAATGTTTAACAAACCAATTGGGGCTGTGATTTGGCTCGCAAATCCAAAACTAATGTAGTGCGTTCTCGTGGATTGTATATAATTGCTGAAGGATCGTTTTGAATAGGACGACTCGACATTGTCGTTGCTTGCACACTAACAAGAGTAGGTGCCGGTGTAAGAGGTCGAGAATCGGTCTCCGTATATTTCCGGAATAACTCTTCCGGAACAGTTATAGCGTCAACGTTAATTTTCTTAATATCTACATTTCCTGAATCAACGGTAACATCTCTTTTGCCGGCAGCTAATAATCTAGCACGAATCATTTCCATTTCTTCTGATAATAATAAAGCTTTACCTTCGCTTGCCTGCAATAGAATGAAAAGTGGAACGAATATTGTCACCGTATGACCATCGTAAATATAAATAATCATTCCATATTTTAAAGGAATTTTCCAAGTCTTGGTTATGTAATTATTATCTGATAACAAATATATAAATTCATAAAATTCATTTTTTTTACCCATGTGTCCTTCGCACGACGCACTACTTCTTTGGCTTCATTGTCTACAGGATGATTACATAATACGGAGCATCCATAAGAATAGGGATTAAAAAGGCCAGCGTAAGGTCGAAGGGCGAAGGGTGCTGGGTTTGTATGTCCTGAAAGTTCTACATGCTGCGTGCAAAAGTTATTCTCATGATTATATCGATCGTTTCATTTACAACCAGAATATATAACGAAAGAAATGGAATTAGATGAAATTATTTTGAAATAATTTATTTCTAATTTCTATTAATGTTTTCAATTGGTAATTCATTTCGAGTAAGGTAAGAATGTTTTCGTAATTGTATGTTCAGATAAGGTGGATCATTGCAAGAATTACGAACATACAAAGAATATAGTAGCAGGGTAGCATCATGTTAAAAGAGAACGATGGAGCCACCGTCTCTTCAAGATTTTCTTTCGTGATCAGTCTACTACCTCATATGTCCAAAATACAATTTTGCGGTCTTCAAGGCGTTGCAGAATTAGAAATATTTCACTTTTCATATTAACATATCAAATATAAATATATTTATAAAAAAAAAACCAATAATTATCATCGTCCAATGAAAAAAAAAAAACTTGAATTAAAAATAGGCGCAATTAAAAATAAAGAAACTTTCCAATGAAATTCGTCGTCGAATAAGTATACCTGCGGTTTATTTCTATAAATAGGTCGAACACGTGCAGAGATGAGACCAGTGGCACTTGCGATTCCAGGCATTTAGTGGTCACTTTTCTCAATTGAATATATCGTGATACTTGTATGTACGTTGACATACGCGTACCTTGCACTTCATTGTTGCACAAATAACATCCTACCTTTCGAAAGATCATTCGTTGCTTAGTACCACGTCGCTATGTGAATTTGATGGGTCGATTAAGTCGATGCAGAAATACATATATATATTATGTGTTACACGATCGATGTAATGGACCCCGATATGTCTAATACATATTTATACTTTTATTAACATTTAAGTATAAAATAAGTTTCATACTTTTTATTGATAGAAATATAATAGAGATCCTTTTGATTCTTCCACATAATGTTTAATCAAATCTTACAAAATACAATAATATAACATTAACAAATAATTCTTATCATGAAAATATTTTCGCTTATAATAAAGAAAAAAAAAATGTATATATATATATATACATATATATGGCTAGAAAATTTCACGTTTTTTATTTTTTTCATATATTAAGTAATCCATTTCTCGATACGAACTCGATAGGAAATAATACGAGAATTCTTCGAAATATAAATGGTACAATTTTATTTAATTCGTTTATATTCTTGATAAAATGGATCCTCCAGCTTGAAACCTTTGTATTTCTTCTTGTATTTCAAACCAGTGACGAGAGTCGAGCTGAGCGGAAAAGCCGTCTTGCCACCAAACATCGTGTCTGTATCTGAGAGAATATTATCGATTGAGTAGCTGTTTAAACGGCGCATGGTTCATAGCTATATATACATAGTTATAGAAAACATTCCAATCGTTACCATGTATTCTAAATAATCTCACATTTTTTTCAAATATTAAGTACACGATATAGACATGGTAGTATAATAAATACTGTATCATGGTATATTGGTATATTGATGAAATGTTGAGTTTACCAGGATGGAAACGATGGTATTCATATTGTACGTGTAAATTCTTCGGAAGCTGCATCCTTCGTAATGTTTCGAGTGGTGTGGCAGTGTCCACCGGAGTATGATAAAATTCTTTTAGATCTCCTGATATAGAATAATACGTAAAAATGTATGTGAAAACATTTTTAATTAGGAAAATACATCGGTACGTTATTAATCAAGCATGAAAACGTATATAAACGTATTTCATAATCAAATTGATCATTTGTATACATAAGAAGCTTGTTCGAAGAAGAGCTACTTTATGTTTGATTATTTTTCTGTTCGTAAATTTCGGGAAATTAATTTTAAAAGATAAAAATGGTGACGTAAGATCTTACAAAATTCTGATTGGATCGTATCGATATAGTAGTACAAATATCAGCGAATAAAAATTTAGTGAGCTTCAGTTCACGAAGGCTGAATTCACAAATAGTTTTATGTTCTAGAATGAATTTTCCAAAATATATACATTTCAATATGACGTTGAGAAAAACGAAAGGAAAAAATAAAAAAATAAAAAGGAAAATCTTCGTATATTTTTCTACTCATTGTCAGACAATAGCTATTGCAAAATTTGATGGCATATGAAAACAAATGTTAAGACAATATATACTCACCGACCGTTTCGATTATGCAAAGCAACGAATTTGGCACGGAATGCTTGAACTCTTCCGCACAGGCTGCAAAGATTTTAAAGCGCGAAAGACCGCCCTCGAGCTTCGCCTCGTCCCTCGTCGAGATTTGTTGGCCCGCACAGATTTTGTCAATCCGTTCATTTACGTCGGAAGGTGGATCGTATGACTTTATTGATCGAAGAAATCTAAAAAGAAAAATGATAAGCAGCGTGTTACTATTAACTCAGCTTCCGAAAGATCGTTCGACAAATTGAGTCAATTAAACGTTAATTTTAACAAAAATACAGATGAATTAGCAATGAATTAATGTCATTCAATTTACAGTTTTTTTCGAAGAAATCACGAAAAGTTTTCCACCTTTTTGCAATTGTATCTACGAACGTCACGTTCATGTCCATAATTAGAATCAAGAAACAATTTCAACAGGTATACGGTGCATACAATGATTTTAATTTATTTGCATAGCAATGGAATGATCCATTTTTGTTCGACGTAAGTTAGGACAAATTTTTTCTAAAAAAAGTCTACACAAATACATTTCTCATGAAGAATATAATAGATGATATCCTATCGCTAGTAAGAATTCTATTATATCATAAAGTTCTCTCGAGCTTCCAAATAGTATACAGATCAGTCGATTATTTCTCGCTTGTAAAGTCTCATTATATGCTACGCCGTCGAAGTAGAAGAACGTCCCTTTATCTTTCATAAAGGCGTTGTTCTATTCTAACGGTTCTCTAGATCTTGGTCTCTTACATTGCGAAAACTTTTATAGTCTATACATGGACATCGAGAAGCAATGTAACCCACCCTGCTTTCTATATACTTCAGCAAACCCTTAGGCGTTAGCATGTCTATTCTATTTCGAGATGGAATCGTTTTTGTTGACGATGCGATTGATTTTACATGGGACTCATCAATATCCCAAAGTCGAGATTATCGTGTTATATTACTGTGTTAAACAACATTTTTCTATTACATGTATGTACTTTATAAAAGAGCTAAGCGCAGTCTGCTAAAACGGTCGACGATATGACGTCCCGTTGGCGAGGGTAGAAGGTGGTAACGATGGTGTCGCACACTAGATGAAGGGAGGATCGGCACGGAGTGAAGGGAGAGGGAATAGGAGATCGATGTCCACCGATAGGATGGTAGTGCCCTCAAGTGCACCCTTGTGAAGTACGTTACTGAACGATAGCAGTGCTGTACTATGAAAACTACGTGCCCCTTACTTCAACGAGCCAAAAGATAATATTTTTTAGATTCTAGGCCATGTAGAAATCTAACACCGAAATGACGTTAAAATTATGAGCAGAGTTTTCGACAAATTTTATAAGAAACGATAAGTTGATAAATTAGTCGATTTATGTATTGTAAAATATAGTCACGAAATATTCCATTCAACTAGCGCATCTCGTCTGGTTAGAAGACTCTTACATAGTTGTGTGTGAGCAGAATATAACAAAGCAATGAAAAAGAAAGAAAAAAGAAAAAAGAAAGAAAAAAAGAAAGAAAGAGGGAGAACGCACGCGATAGTGAGAGAGAGAGAGAGAGAGAGAGAGAGAGAGAGAGAGAAAGAGAGAGAAAGAGAGAAAGAAAGAGAGAAAGGAGAACGGACGTCTTCCACATACCGTGTTGACAGGTAGACGCAAGACGATTGCTACGTTTCTCGATGTCTCGCGTATTTCGTGAGAAAAAAAAGGGTCAGTGCACTTTCAGCATTTTTTCGAAATTTTGTAGAGATAGATTTCCGTTCATCATTCATTGTTATTAAAACCGATATAAATATAAGAATAATTCCAAAAAAATCTATACGAAAAATGGAATAAAATCGATCATTGAAATTATTCAGTATCTGATCAATTTTGTGAACAGGGCACTGGAGGTCACTCGAGCCAGCCCTAAAAAGTCGTAGACGATCGGAACACGATTTGTGCGCTCGGATAGGCTCGGTCGTTGGTAAGTAGTGGGAGACAAGCAAAGGAGGTGGGAGAGGAGAGCAGTATGGCCGCAGCCCGTTCTCAGGCGGTTGACCAGCTGCGCGACGTAACGTGACGAAATTACGTTTCGTTCGAAAGCGATTGACCGCTTACCCTTTCGCGGAAAGAGACTTCCTGGTAGCTTCCAACTTCGGATTCTGCTTCAAGGCATCGTCAGCGGAACTCAGCTTACTCGCGAAGCGCGCAACGTCGCGACGTGCGTTCGTCGTCTGCGATAAAGAATAAAAGTGAATAAGAAAGAAAAACCGATATAGAAAAGGAGTATAAATAAGAGAGAAAGAGAAAGAGACAGAGAGAGAGGGGGGAGGAGAGAGGGAGAGAGAGAAAGAGAGAGATAAATTAAAAATGATGGTGACACATAGTTGGTGTCTGTGTCTAGTGTTAAGAACGGTCGGATTAAAGTATCCGGTCGACATATAGTGGAAATGTCGTTCGTGAAGTGTTGAAAAGAAAAAAAAATAACATATTAGGAGTTTTTCTTACTAACCGTAGTGACCGCAAATAGCGCGGACGTACTTTTAAACGGAATCCTGTATGAGGCATGCCTGATGAGCGCCGCCATATTTTTCATCGTCGACCGTCGGAGAGAGAAACGAAACGGAGCGCACGCAGCAGCGGCAGCAGCAACCAGCAGAAATATCGGGACTGATCGTAAGGGGTCGCCTCGGGCGGCTGCGCTTGTTGTTTCCCATCGTCCGCCATTTTACGGTCGCCATTGAGAAGTGAAAACCCTACTTAAATGTTCTCGAATGATAGCGGTCTCGCCGTGTGATTTTTGGGCCTGAGAGCCGTGTCGCGTCGCGAAGTGTTGCTAATGAGTGTAAGGCGTGCGATGGAGAAGCCATGACGCATCCGTCGCATCAAACGAACGGCGCCAGCCTGGAGGACTGCCACACGAATTTCTTCGCACTGGTGAGTGACTCCAAATCCTTCCTTAGCCGCGTATATATGACCCTGCTCTCTTACCTTATTCATCATCATTGGTCTCTTTCGTGCTTCGTTATCATACTACTCGAGGTCCTGCACTTTTATACCCGTCATTGACTATCCTATCACCCGTCATCGTTTTTCTCTCTCCCTCCCCCCCCCTCTTTCTCTACGTCGCGAAGTCGCCGTTCTCAACGACTGATTTACAATCTCGTCCGTTATTCTCACTCTTTTCTACTCCAAATCATCGCTATCGCAACTACCGAAGATTTGCGGCGACAGAAATGATCGTCGGCCGGCGTCTCGCATTCTCGTGCTCTTCTTCCGCAATCATGATTCCTTCCGTACAAGAAATCGAGATATCCTTTGGCAATCGAATCTTCGTTGTGTTAACCTATATATCGAGACAGGAATTCCCCTCTGCAGTACTACTCGATCGAACATCGACTTCTCTCCCCCCCCCCTCTTCCTCCCTCTCTTTACCTATTTATCTCTCTTTCTCTCGTATATCCCATCTCGTAACGCATCGCATTATCCTCTCTCTCTCTCTCTCTCTCTCTCTCTCTCTCTCTCTCTCTCTCTCTCTCTTTCTCTCTCTATCTATCTCTTTCTCTCCCTACATAACATACGCCCTTACATATATGCTACCTCTCTTTTCTCTATCGACATAAGAGCGTGTCCTCGTCGAGAAGAAGTGTGTACTTCTTCAGACGCACGTACGAGTATATATATACATGTATACACTTTTACGTATAAGTATGGCAGATACATGTCATTCGTACGTGTACGACCGTCAGAACGAAAAAGAAAGATTGGGAGTTTGTTTTGTACGATAGGATGTAATGTCGCTTTCGGTCAATTTTTGGGTGTTGTCGTTATTGTTCTAAAAGTTAATGTGTAATGAATTATTTCGATATTCTTTTACTTCGGATTTTTCTTATTTTTCATCGTATTGCTAAGATATTGCATCGTATTGTTGCGTTAGAGTAGGAATTCCATTTTCTATAATAAAAAAGGGAGAAACTCCTCTAATCTTTAATGAAAAACTACCAAGGATGCCGGGAAAGCAGCAACCACTATTGTTACTTTAGTTGCTACGTTTGTATTTTTTGCTTTTGTTTTGCTTTCTTTGCAGCTTTGGATAACGAAAATAACGAGATGTAGGAAGATGTAGTCGAGTAGAAGCTAAAGTTCGAGCAGTCGCTACGATCGTCTTAGAAAGAACGAAAACTGTGTCAGTCCGTTGTGTTGTTCCCCTGTGCTTCTCGAAAGTCCGTAACGCTTCCCCTCTTGCGTGCCAACGTCTCTCGAAACACCTAGGAATCCCTCCTTACTGTTGAGATATACCATGAATCTCGCTCGTTTCTGCAATCGTACGCGCGAAACTCTTCGCGTCTTTCTACGCTCTATGTATGGTATGTATATATATGCGTGTATGTTACATTATGTATTTCATATATACACATATATATATAAAAACTTATGCATATATATGACTCCGTGTGTGTTACTTTCTGGGCCTTTTCTCCTCTCTCTCTCTCTCTCTCTCTCTCTCTATATATATATATATATATATATATATATATATATATATATATATATATATATAGATATATATATATATATATATCACAAAATGCATGTAACTTTTCGTGATAAGCGTGCGCGCACGAGGGTCTCAATCTCTTTCTGTTCCTGGCCCTCCCTCTACGACTCAACTAGCTTTGCACATACAGGGTGCAAGATAAATAGAGACAGTGGTGTACGCACCACTAGTGCGCGCGCGCGCGTGCCAAGGTAGTTACATCGATGTCGTCCTCGTCGCGTCGTTCTGCTCCTCCTCCTTCAGCTCCTCCTCATCGTGCGTGCCGTGCATGACACCGAGGAAAGAGAACAGACGCAACACATTTTTCTTATATTCATGGCATATACCAATACACAACATGCAGCTCGATCGAATATCTCTCTCTTTTCCTCTCCCCCTTTTCTTTTGTTTTCTCATGAAATATTGTCCGTGTGTTTCTTTATCTTACTACGAATCTTTGATCGTTCGATCGACAAAGATTTTTGCTTTGATGAGAGGGATAGAAAGGAAAGATGTTGGGAGAGAGAGAAGGATAAGACTCGCCCAGTTCTTGTCATTTTTATTTGTTTATGTCTTTCGATCCATGAGACAACCCAGAAGTTAATGAATTTTCGTTTAAAACTATTTCGGCATCGTCCTGAATTTCTTCGTGTATATCTAAAAAACGCACGAAAAAAGTGAGGTTATGTCAGATGTCATTGACGAGTACGGGACTTGTTTTTTAAGAGATATCAAATTGGAAGTTGTAGCAATTTCATATATAAGAATTATTTTGAATGACAATGATGAGTAGAATATTAGGCTTGATTTCTTTGTATTCTATAAGATTGTTTATATTGTAACATATTAGGAATGCTTCTGTTGGTCAGATTAAGACACATTTTAATCATTGTGATATAGAAGCATAATTGTGAGTAATCGTGAAATGAGTACATCGACTCATTACCATTTATTTATTTTGCGATCTATAAATAGAATCAAAACACGATTTGTGATTATATTTTCGAGGATATATAAATTATTGTTTAATCGCATACATAATCTTTATCAAGTAACATTCGGTCCATTGCGTATTCTCATCCGTCGATCCGTCGAAAAAGAAACTGGAAGAGAAACACAGGGAAACGTGAAATAGTTGAATTATAATTATCAATTAGAACATTAGTTCTGGTTACGTTGTAAAAGATTTATTAATAACCTTCTTTCCCTACATTAGATACTAGATATATTTCTATAGTACGTTAGATACATTTTGTAAACGCTGTCATTAAGAAGATAGTATAAAATCGTTAAACAGTAAAGTAAACATTTTTATCGATAAATTTCATATTGTTCGTTGTTCGTGAATTTTCCAATGAACCAAATCAAGAGAAACTCGTTGCTACGTAGTCAAAGAACGAAGCAAAATCTTATCGTAGTTTATAAAAAAAACGATTATAATGTAAAATGTAAGTTAATGTATTTTCATTTTTATATCACGGACTCAACGTGATACATTCTTAAATAATTTTTCAGTGAGGGTGAAATCAAGAAAAATTCGTTGCTATGTAGTAAAAGAAGCGAATAAAATCTTTTATTGTAGTTCATAAGTGATATGTATGTACGCAAGTTAATGTATTTTCATTTTTGTATTACGTAACATACATTTCTAAAAACATTGTTACAATTTATCAAAATATAATCGAATAGCGGCAGAATCGTTATAAACATGGCTGCCAGACCATTCAACAAGAGCGTAGATAGTACGATTTTTTATCGATTTTCTAGTGTCATTTAGTTCAGATAATAAATTCTTTTATCGAAATCTGTAAACTTATAATCAACTGATTCCATAATTTTGTTGCATCGAGAGTAGAGATAGTTTGCCTCTGGGTACTTTATATGAACGACCGGTAAACAAGTAGATATAACGTTCTATTCTTTAGCGGTCGTGGACGAGACCGTGCTCTGCTTTCGTCTCGACTTCTCCCACAGCTTTCCCTTCTAGAAGTTCGTTAACTCGATCTTTCTCTTTCTAATCGTCTGCATTCTCAACTCCAAAACGAAACGATTCCTTTTGAGCACGATAACAATAAATACATCTTTTAAAATTCTTTTTTTATACTATTAGTTCGATTTTATTCCTTGACTCAAAAAAAATATTTATATTTATTTATCCTATATTTATTACAGTTTAATTTTACTTTGTTCGTTCGTTATAAGCGTATCGTATACTAACTTTAATGACAAATTATAGGAGAATGACAGTGACATAAACAAAAGCGAATACATACGAATACATAATTCTAAATGTATATATTTAACAAAAATCCAGCAACGTTTTATTCGATATATATACCACATAACAATAAAGGTTACTTCTTCCTTGGTCTTTACCGTATATATTTTATATATTATTTCGTCAATGAAGATTCCCCAACAGTGATTGAGCACCACTGAATCGGCGGCTCGAAGACCGGTGCGCAGGCGTAATCGTTTTACCGTCATGTAAACAAATGAGCGAGTGCCGAGGGAAAGCGCATGCGTGGCGCTTCTCTAGCCGCCGTTTTCGAGGTTCTCAACTTTCCTCTAACGTAAGGATACGCGTTTTACGCTTACTACGACTCATTTTACGGATTAGGTAACGTTTCGTTTCTTTACCATGCATTCTTCTTCAATATATGTTCTCTTATAATTATTTATGTAATGAGAAAAAGAGTCACGAGCCATTCAATCAATCGATCGAAAAGCGGACATTCACGATTATAAAAATATTAAAATAAATTTTATCTATAGTTAGGTTATTGCTCTCAAACGTTTGAACTTTTCGTTTGACTCTTCGTGAAATCAGAAATTTCTGCAGGATAGATATGCAGACAGACAGACAGAGATGGTGGGAAGGAGAGAGGAGAGAGGAGAGAGAGAGAGAGAGAGAGAGAGAGAGAGAGAGAGAGAGAGAGAGAGAGAGAGAGAGAGAGAGAGAGAGAGAGAGAGAGAGAGAGAGAGAGAGAGAGAGAGAGAGAGGAGGTTAGCGTTCGTAGGATCGCCGTCCAGTGATCTTCGAAAGAGAAGAGTGGGGAATAGGTACGTTCAGTGGTGGGCGCGCTTCACAAGGATGGAACGAGAGAGGCACATAGGGGTTCCCCAAGTTGAACCCACGCGGGCGGCCTTGCACGTCGCCTTGCTTGTATTGATCAGCAAAGCTTGACAGGTCCGTAGCGCTACAGGGCGCTTTCGACGTTTTTGTGGGATTAGAATAAATTAATATTTGCGAATTTTGGGAAAAAATGACTTGGATGTTTAGGAAAAACTCGAAAATACGGGATGTAATTTAAAGAACGAAGCAAAACTTCGTTTAATGAAAGAACGTCTCGTCCATCGTTCTATGGTATCGATCGAAACATGAATTATTTCTGTCGGTCTATAAACTAACACGTGGGATATTTGTATATAACCTTATATAGAAAAATCAATATATGTATATACATATGTATGTAAATAAACATCATGGATTTTTTTTTTGTTACATTGTAAATCAAATATTTTTAAGAAATATAGGTTTGGTGTTAATTGTTTACCCAGCAAACATTCACCTATTTCCTCATAAAGAATACTTAGTATCTTGATACATACTTTTCTGAGAAGGAATGGGGGCTGTATTACGATCACAAATGTTTCCTTATCTCTATAAAAAAAATAGTTGATTTAATATATCGTTTTCTTTTTCTTTCTTTTTTCCTTTTTTTGTTCCTTTTTTTAGACGGACCTCTGCGGTATAAAATGGAGGAAGCTTGTGTGGGGCGAAGTGGCCGGCGGTTTCGGGGGTACCCCACTCGAAGATCCGGTACTGTCGAGCTTCTCGCGTTGCCTTGCGGGTGACATTCTCTGCGTGTGGCGGCGGGTCGCCGCCACGCCGGCTGCCTCCGCCGGCGGCCCGGCAACCGCCTCTGGACCCGGCCCTGGCATCTTCGAACTGGGCATCGCGCCCTCTCCAGCTCCTCCACCACTCTCTCTGACTGCAGCCAAGGAACTCTGGATCTTCTGGTACGGCGAGGAACCCGATCTTTCTGGTCTCGTCTCGCCAGAGCTCATCGCTTGCGGTGAGTGTTTTCATTCGTTCATGTGATACTATCCGTCACCATCATCATCACCCAATGTCAATCCTTTGTCGTTCATTTAAACAGAGAAAAGAACTCGTCATGGGGTCGAGTCCAGTAAACAAATTTCGTTCTGAAATGTCTTACAGGCGATACAACATCATTGGACGAGTATTGGATATATCTACTAAGATAATTTTCTCTTAAAAAATCATAAAATTTATTACAAATGATTTAGGATATCAAGAGCTTGTTTATGTTGGCTAATTATTAATAGAAATATTGAAAGGAACAAGGCAGCAGAACATTAGACCTTATTATGATGTATTTCGTGATGAGTCGATGTTAAAAAAATGAAGTACTTATAAAAATGATCTGATGTTTCATTTTATTAACAAAAGCAAAGTATCACGCAATATGTAGTTAGTTAATTGGAAAGCTATAGAGAATGAGTTTCGAATATTTTCTATCAGTGTCAAAAAACAAGGTAATACAATGTTGGTTCCTTTAAAGGACTTCCTTCCTTTTTAAAACATTTTTTTTATAATTCATTTAAATTATATTGAATGTTTCGTTACTTTAACTAGATCAATTCGTAGACTATTTGTTTAGAAAGTGTTACGCTGCACAATGATTTGAAAGTCACTTTCTGGAGAAAAAGAGTCCTACGATGAGATTCTCGGAAGTTTTCATTTGAAGCAAAGGTGAAAAATATAATTTAGCATGATGATAGACAACGGTGTTCTTCTTTAAGTTCTTCGAAATAGATTGACAATGAGAAAAATGAACAATTGAATTTCGTCGATATATTTATTGATATATTTATTTGATTAAATAAATTTATTCTCCTTAAAATGAAGAATCAAAACGTATATTCAACCGGTGAATAGTTTGAAAAGACGTTAATGATATTATTTTGTATCATATTTATTTTTAAAAAAATTTGATTTACGGTTTGCAAAACATATGATGAGGAAAGCGATGATAGATGTGAGGGAAGAGGAAAGGAAATGATTACAAAAAGCAAAAAAAAAGAAGGAAAAGAAGAATGGTTAGGATTGGAAGGAAGGCAAGCGTAAAAGAATTTGAATTTTCGCATTGATGTATATAGTATGTAACTTGCGAATTAAGTGACACGACTAATTCGCGTTATAACCTTGCAGTACTTCTATCTTGACGAGAGAGAAGGTAGACACACGTTGAAAGAAAGCGGTAATATCGAGCAACGGAGCGGCGTTGTGAGCATCGTGTGCTCTCTTCGGCATGGGGTCGCTGAACCATGCACTTGTCTTGTAGCTTGTTGCGACGCAACCTATAGATCCACCGTTGCGTACCGTGCGCGGGATTACTCGAATCGTGAAACTGTAAACCGTTAAGCCTAAAACACCGCCCCTTATTTCTTCTATCCTTTCGTTCGAACTCTTTTGCAATTATTCATCGTTCATAAATTCACGAAAATTCATGAGAGTAATTCAAACCTTTGAATTTCGAATTATAGTTCGTGCCAACGAACTTTTCGTTTAACAGAATAATAAAAATTCGTTTTGAAATATAACAAAAAATCGTAAAGGCTTGACTGCAAGATATACTACAAGTTGGACATATTTTGTATTTACACTGTAATTATTCAATCAGAGTTACATATTTGTCGAATTACGAATCTATGAGTTTTATCTTCTGAATCATATTCTTTATATCTATTATAATAATATCGAGAATTATCGACGATTGAATAGCATCTAATAATTATAGGTAGTATAGATGATTTTATAACAAAAAATAAATGCTGAGCTAGGAGCGAACGCGTGCAGTATTACAAAGTAAAAGGAGTCGAGGCGCGGTACCGGAGACGAGTTCGAAGCCTGTCAAGCGATTGAAGTGAAAGCGATATTTACACGTAAAAGTTAGCGTATAGTGTCGCCATAAATAATCAATATCGCTTCAATGTTATATGATGGAAGTATTCATATTTTGTAAAATAACAACAATATAATGTTTATATAGATATCTCATTATTGCTCTTTAAATTTAATTTGAAAATAAATATGGAGATTGTAAATTAAATTCGTATTTGTAGCTTTACATACAATAATAGTCGCAAATCACACTCTTTGGTTTTGTTAATCATATACAGAACTAATAATCTGTTATCGTTTATTACAGAAAGTGAGCAAGGATCGTGGGAAAGTGGTTTGTCGTACGAATGCCGGTCTCTTCTCTTTAAAGCTCTTCATAATTTGATCGAACGGTGCTTACTATCACGTGACTTTGTTCGATTAGGAAAGTGGTTTGTCCAACCATATGATGGCTTTGAAAAACATCGTTGTAGCAGGTACATGTTTATATTGTCATTGAATATAATGTTCATGTTACATTTGTAAACGCTTTCGACCAGTCTTCATTGAATATTATTTTTCGTTTCTCATTTTGCAGCAGTCACTTGTCATTCTCGTTTGCATTTTTCGTGCATGGTGAAAGCACTGTATGTGCAAGCGTGGATGTTAGACAACATCCTGCAGTGCGACATCTTACTAGGGCATGTTTGCAGCGCACTCAAACATCTCAATCTGGTGTTAAGGGTAAATATAAAGAAAAAAAATTATTTATGAAATTGGTACACAGATTTTATTTAAGATTTTCTTGTCACAGTGATCTTGGCTCCTTATGGATTGGCAGGAACTTTAACAGGCCAAGTTGGACGTATGGATAGTCAACTTCTCGAAGAATGGAAACATTTCTATCCAATTAATAGTAATAACACGGAAACAGGACTGCCACCACTTGTGGAAGTTCTTGTTGGCGGTGTACGCATGCGTTATCCTTCCTGTTATGTATTAGTTACGGATATGGATGATACACCATCGGGAGCTCCACTGTCACCACCAAATAGTCCTATTAGTTGTGAAAATACTTTTGCAACTGAACAAGATTTTGGAGCTGCTACAGAATTACCAGAACGCGTATGGGCAGAATGTACTTTAAGCTCACCAGTATCTGCTTCCAAGACCGAATCTTCCACAGAACTTGGAACCTGGACATTTGTTGAACCAATGCAAAAGGCTTCCTGTACTTGCTCAAAGTAAGTAAAATAATTCTTTAATTGCATATGATAAATTTACCAATAAAGGCAATAAAGTGATATGTCATTTTAGTTATATATGCATTTCCATGCGTATTATGATTTATAAACTAATCGTTTATAAAAACATGTATCAATAATATGATACCTTCGTTTGTTTCTTTATTCAATTTTATGCGGTATAAATTATATTTATAATGAACTTGAATCTTATTAAACTTGTGACAGTCCAACATATATCGACATATATGAAGAAAGTAATACAATTTTGCATATTAGAATTTGAGTAAATCTATAAATGATTATTATATCTATTTTTAATAAATTAGATATGAAGAAAATATATTACTAATAGATCGATTATTTTTATAACAAATCAATGTTATAAAATATGTGTGATTCTACATAGTTATTATTCGTATGATATCAAAGGTGTACTGTTGTTTTAAATGTATCTTTAGGATTTATTTGAAGCATGACTTACACTAGTCGGTTCTGTTATATTGACTGTGTCAGTATTATACAATATAATACACAAAGTAATATTTATTCATCATTTTTTAAATCTACACTATATATGATCAATGGAAAAGGTTGAAAATTTTTGTATTAATAATATGAGTAAATATAAGAGAGTGTAAAAGAGCGAGTAAATATAATGAGTATATAATAGAGGGTTTCTCATGGTTTTTTAATTAAATTCTTTTTTTCTTTTTTAAAGAATTCTTTTTTTCTTTTTTAAAGAATTCTTTTATTTTTAAAGAGTTTGTTTATTTTTATAACACTTTCAAATTAATCAAAAACAAGTTTAATTCTTAATTTAGTAAAAAAGTATTACTTTGTGTATACTGATAAACAAATTTAAATAACTGTGAATTACAAGTATACTTGACAATGTCAATGATAGAGCCATTTCTATTTGCATGTTAGAGCATAATTTATAAAACGTAGATCGTGGAAATGTTAAAATGCAGATAGTAGTTTTGAATGGCTGCTTCTGCAATGTGTGCATGTAAGATAAAGCTCTTTGAAAGGGCTTAAGTGCAACTTTTACCTGTTCAAGTAAATTTACATTTTTATAAAATTATATACAGGATAAAGAAATATATGATAGATGTTTATAAATTCTTTTATATACATATTTCGGATTGTACATATCAGGAAATTTTCTGGTAACATAAAAAAAATAAATATTAAATAATAAACATTTTTTCAAATTTCTGATATTATGGTATCGATTCAGCGTATAAGGTATAACTTTTTGATACAAGTTATGCTTCAGGACACTATGGAACCAATGAGATCATAATATATCTCTAAAGGAAAGAAACAAGATGTTAAACACATCGGTTGCAGGTATACCAACCCCGGGGGTTGGAAGGGCCTGGCCTCCTCACAGGTTCAGAGGGAGAGAGTAGATAAAGGTGGACGGAGGGTCGTACCGTTTCATCGACGCTCTACCACCCAGTGGGATGCTTGCCCCTCTGTCCCTGCTAGTGCCCCCAGGTGGGTAATTTCTGCCCCGATATACAGAAATCTATGCTGTATCATATTATCGTGCACTACAATAATTGCATATGGTCGGAAGAGACCATAACATCATCCTTGAATTCACTGCTTCCATCAACTCTGTCATATATATATGTATATGTATATGTATATGTATATGTATATGTATATGTATATGTATATGTATATAATATGTATATATATACGTATGTATATATAATCATACAAGTAACAGAATTTAATGCACTATAATACAATAATTGATTTCATACGACGATTGCTTTTCTTCAGGCATGTGTGTTAATTTTAGCACTCAAATCATAACTAATATGCTGAAACTGGATACTCTCAATATATCATCTTTTTAATAATATGGAAGAGGCAGTTTTCCCCGAAAAAAAAATTGTATCATTGTTTAGAAGGTTAGCATATTTTTTTTATATAAACATATTGTGAAAATATATGAAAATGGGCATACAAAATAAATCAATTAGTAAGTACACACATTCACAGCAAAAGCAAAACGAATTGGATATAAAGCCTTTTTTCTTTTTTCTTTTTTCTTTTTTTTTTTCTTTTTTTTTCTTTTTTTTTCTTTTTTTTTTTTCTAATGTATTTGTGATTTAATTTTATGGACTTTATTTATCTTGAAATAAATGAGGTTTTCATGTAAAAATTTTATATTCTTTGTACCTATTCATCATGCACTGAATTGCATATACTCTATTCGCATGGCTTGCTATAATAGTATTATATATATAATTTATACTTGAGTGTTCATACATGAACCCTTCGATCATTTAATTATAACGTATTCGATTTTTTAATACATTTCTTTCTTTTTTAGATACTTTATTTGTAAAAATGTAACATCTGCATGGTTATTAGTATATCATATGCATGTTGCTAACAAAATATGAAATTAACTCATCATTAAATTTTTTATATAATTTCCATTATATATCATATACATACTATTAATATATAGGCAATAGATACATTAACATATTATGTTTTAACATGCTTCAATCCATTGTTTGTTTTAAATGCAAAATATTTTAAGTGTTGACGTTAAATCATCCCGTCTGTGTATGTATATATAAAGATAATAATTTTGTAATTATTTATAATCTCTAAAACATGTAATACTGCATAGAGATATGAACTTATAGGAAAAATAATTGTAAAAAAAGAGAAATCAAAAGATATTTATGACATTGTTTTTTTATATTTTTTTAGAAAGTTATATTTTCTTCACATTAATCATTATATTTATTCTTAAAATAAAATAGGTCCGTACTGAGCAGAGTAGAAGCACCAAGTACACCACCAGAAGGACCACCATCTTATTCAAGAGGTCCACCTACTGGAGGAGATTGCCTACCAGTTCCATCAGTGGGATCACCAGGCTCGCCAGCACCATCTCCACTTCCAACCCCACATTCTGAGCCTGCATCTGTTCCACCAGCAGAACCAACGATGCCTACACTCAGCCCACAACCACCACCCAGTCACACAAACACTGCCCCTCCTTTAACTCCATCACAAGGTCCAAAATCGGCATCTTCTGCATGTAATAATCAGGCACATAGTCCTTTACCTGGGCAAACATTAAAACGACCAATCTTAGCCTCTAGAGAATATGAAGGTGCTCTTTTAGAAGATGAACAACCTTTGTCTTGGCTTTATGATTATTCAACACAAGAAGCTTGGCTCAACCATCCTGTCAAGCGTTTTAAAGGTCCAACAAGTGGTCCAACTAATGTTCGAAGTAACACTTTGTATCCACCAATGAATTTGCAAGCTTTACAACCTCAAGCACCAAAACTAGAAATCAAACAGGAACCAAACGTAACAACTGTATGTGTTCTAATTATATGATTTTTTAAATAATATTTATCGTCGCAAATTCATTATTTTATTTATTTAATGTCGTATAGAGTGATTGTATCGGAAGAAGATCGGATCCATATGAATTCGATGCAATGGGAGAAGAGAATAATACAAATGTCGATGGATTAAGGCGGCAAAGAGATGATCCACCTAAACCAGGATCTTTATTTACTAGCGAAGGTCTTCAAGCATCTTATAAGGATTTGGAACAGATTTTTGATAATTCTGATCCTGACACTTCAAGTGACGAGACTGTAAGTATATTTTGTTTTTCTACATAATTATAATTTAGTCATTGTATCTTATGAGAAAATATTGAAAATTGTTTCAGAACTTAAATCAGCTTCAAGTACAAACACCACCTGGTTCTAATAAATCGGGTGGTATGCACGAAGAAACAAGGATAGACGGTACAAATAAGCATAACAATCGTGGTGTAGGAGTATTACGACCAGAAGAACTGTCCAAAATGTTTCCAACACCACCGTCTTTGGAGCATAATCCAGTAGCTTCGCCATGTCAGTTAAACGATCCGCTTACGGACCAAACCGATCTCTCCGTTCCGCAACGTCCACTCAGGCATCTCCCGGATATCTATCCTAATATGGGATCTCCGCAAGAGGAACCAATCGATGATTGGTCATACGTGTTCAAGCCAGCTCCCATCTGCAAGATGGTTGGTTCTTCCAAATATGCTCCACTTACAAATCTACCTAGCCAGTCCCTTCCACCCGTTACACTGCCATCGCACTGCGTGTACAGACCTTCCTGGCAGTGTAGTTCGACTTCCATCAATTCGGAAAAACCTCTTCCACCGTCTAGACCCGGATCCGTTCAACAACAACCTTGTCCACCAAGTCCAGCGCCATTAGGCGCTCCATATCGTACGACTACTCTTCCGGGTAGGCCACCGCCACCACCATATGACCAACCGAGCCCAGCTACTTCCACAACATCTTCATATTTAAATAAAAATTTAAACAGTATCGAGGCAGACACACCGGGGCCAACTCGTGCACCGGAATCTAATTCTCTTGTGGTGAACATACTGTTGGGTGATACAGCATTGAATATTTTCCGTGATCATAACTTCGATAGTTGCAGTCTATGTGTATGTAATGCAGGTCCGAAAGTTGTTGGTAATATAAAAGGTGCCGATGCAGGTGTTTATCTAACGAACTCTTGGGGAAATGGTAGTGCTCTGATTCAAGATGACGATCAAATTAGGTGCAGCTGTGGTTTTAGTGCTGTGGTAAATAGGCGACTAGCTCATAAAGCAGGATTATTTTATGAAGACGAAATGGAAATAACGGGAATTGCTGAGGATCCAGCGGAAAAAAAGAAAGGATCGCTTGCTGCACTTGCATGCGGTGGAGGTAAATCACCTGAAGGATTAGATATTATTCCCCCGAATGTCTTGGAATTACTTCGAGAGCAATGCTTGCTAGTACAGAGTTCTGCGAGCAGTCTTTACAGAGCGGCAAGAATTTACGCTAGCATGAAAAGTTATCCAATGCTCGCACCAACGGTGAATACTCTAGAATTTAATGATGGCAATGAGGTATCACTCGCAGCATTAGATCAGGGAAAGATCGATAGTACACATAGTGAAAGAACTAATCGTGTTAATGGCATACATCGTTGGGTCTTTCTCAGAGCTCGCGGTCCTCAGTGTAGCGGTGATATTGTGCGAATGATGAGAGCCCTACAGCCGCTCCTGCAAGATGCCGTACAGAAAAAGTGTACTACTAGAATGTGGGAAGCACCTTACACTGTTGCTGGACCTCTTACTTGGAGGCAATTTCATCGTTTGGCTGGACGTGGAACGGACGATCGATGTGAACCACAACCGATACCTGCACTGGTTGTAGGATATGATAGAGATTGGTTATCGTTATCACCTTATGCTCTTGGTTATTGGGAGAAACTTTTGTTAGAACCTTACGCTGGCCCGAGGGATATTGCTTATGTTGTGGTTGCACCAGATAGCGATTGTGTAGTCAATAAAGTCAAGTCATTTTTCCGTGAGCTTTCAACAACTTACGAAGTACGTAAAAGTTGTTTTCTAAATCTATCAAAAAATTATTCTTATATGTGTGTAATAATGTTAAAATGAATACATGATATACTATGATATATATTTGTCCTTTTTCGTTGTTAGATCTGTCGATTAGGGAGACACACTCCCATTTCAAAGGTATTACGCGATGGGATTCTTCGTGTTGGTAAATCAGCAGCACAAAAATTAGCAAAGCAACCGATTGACGAATGGTTTAAATTTCTCGGTGAAAATCGAATAGGAGAGTTATTGCGATTGTATGCTCAAGTATGTAATCATCGTCTGGCACCATATTTAACACAGGTTATACAAGATCGAAGTTTATTAGATCCTGGTGATACTCAATTACCAAATAAACAACAGCAGCAACAACAGCAACAACAGCAAACCACTGCTCCTGTTACTGATACAATGCCAGCAACGCCTGACGTGATGACAACAAAGCCAGAATCTGTTGGTATGTATACAATTTATTAGAAATATTCGTAATTTAATCATATTTTATCACGATAAAATTGTTATCATAACAATATCTGTAGAAAGTGAAAACCCAAGAAGCGAAACTCCCTCAAATACATCAAATCCAAATCCAAATATCGGCAATACTACACCGACTTCGCAAATGTCTACTGGAAATTCCACAACGACAATAGGTCCTGACGAAGAGGAAGTTGAACCGCCGGCTGTTGTTGTTTATTTAGTTGAACCATTCTCTTTAGGAGGACCTGAAGATTCTGATCGGCGACGGCTTGCTATATTAGCCCTATTACGAGCGTATTCTGCTGCAGTGAATAGCATGCCTGAAAATATTAGATCTAACATAAATGTTCAGGTAATAAATGTTGCATATAGTATCGAATGACAAAAATAGATAATGCCTGATTACTTCAAGAATTACATTAATTAAACTGTACTTTTACATTCTTTATTTGTAGTTAATATCACTGGAAAGTATAATGGAATTAGGTCGCGCAAGAGAAAGAAGAAAGATACAAGATGAAATGAGAGCTTTGGCTTTAAATGTGTTTCTACAAGGACGTCGTTTGCTGAATCATAATTCCACGGTAAAGAGTCTTACTGGTTTTGGTACCGCAGCCGCCGCAGATCTATTCCTGAAAAGTAAAGATGTAAGGCTTCATATTGTTTAAAGCTTCTCTTCGCTTTCGATTGTATAACACGTTTCGAAACTTTTAACGAAAGTAGTAATGAATAAGAAAAGCTTTGAATCAATCATTTTCAGTCATATAGTAATACTCTTGCAACTCCACATCAGGAACGGAACAAAGCACCGTACCGACTGTACGCACCAGCCTATGTATTGGCTCCTCTACGAGCAAAAAGCGAAGCGCCGGAATCATTTGGAATTGCTGGACCAGAGGAGTGTGCTGTATTGTATTTGAGTTATTGCCTCAGTGAAGATCAATCCTGGTTATTGGCCGTGGCAACGGACGATCGAGGAGAGATCTTTGAAACTGCTACCATTAATATTGATATACCTAATAGAAAACGAAGAAAACGTGCCTCTGCCAGAAGAATTGGATTACAAAAACTTATGGACTTTATCCTTGGTGTGATGTCTCAAGGTGTAAGTATCCAAACAAGATGAATGTCTTGTTTCATGCTTTTCTTTTCCTCGTTTAGAACGTAGGACTTTTTTCTAGGTGCAACCGTGGAGATTAGTTGTAGGTCGTGTTGGACGTATAGGACATGGAGAATTGAAAGGCTGGAGTTGGCTGCTTTCTAGAAAAGCTCTTTTGAAAGCTTCGAAACATTTGAAAGAAATATGTGGACAGTGTAGTCTTTTATACCCATCAGCAGCGCCCTGTGTACTCAGCGCATGTTTAGTATCTCTAGAACCTGATTCTACTCTCAGATTGATGGCTGATCAATTTACACCCGATGAAAGATTTAGCCAAGCATCAGTAAACTGCCAATTATCCACACCACAAGATGTTACATGTACTCATATTCTTGTCTTTCCTACGTCGGCTACTACTCAGGTAACTGGAGGGAAATTTGTTTATGAGAAATTGATTTCTTTTCCACATTTCGTATAGTTGATATTATTTATTATATTGACTTTATTTATAGTCATCCCAGACTGCCTTTCAAGAACAACATATAAATGGACCAGAATTAGGAGATGATGAATTATTTTCTGCTTTGAATGATGATATGCCAGAAGCCATGGAAGGCATGGGAGATTTCAATGATATTTTCAATGTATGGCCTGAGGCAGGTGCAGGTGGTGGTCAAAGTCCTAGTGGAAGTCCTCATCGGCCTGAAGGATCCCCATTAGGAGGAGACGGTGGGGGTTCTGGATTAGGCAATCATGATGGACCAGGTAGTCCGTTTCAATGCAGTAATACATCCAGAGTAAGTAAATAAATATACGTTCTACTAACTTTAAGTTAACATTTCCTATTTTATATCTATGCATTTTATTATTAAAATATCATATTATAGGTAGCCGTTGCAGAACAATCAGAAGAAGTTGGTACACTTTTACAACAACCACTTGCTCTTGGTTATTTAGTTTCTACTGCACCAACAGGACGAATGCCACCATGGTTTTGGGCAGCTTGTCCGCATCTTGAGGGAGTTTGTCCAGTTTTTTTGAAAAATGCTTTACATCTTCACAGTCCCTCAATTCAGCAAAATAGTGACGACCTCTTACAACAACAAAGTGCACTCACTGCTCATCCACTTGATTCACAATATACCACCGATGTACTCAGGTTTATATCAGATATTCGATATAGAACTTGTATATATGTATATTATATAAAAAAGCTTTCGTTAATTCGTCGATTATTATTTTGTTAATTTTTAGGTATGTTCTGGAGGGATATAATGCATTATCATGGCTCGCAATGGATGCAAATACCAAGGATCGATTATCTTGTTTACCGGTGCATGTACAGGCGCTCATGCAGCTCTACCACGCAGCGGCAGCTCTCGTCTGACCCTCACCCTCTCCCTTTATAGTGCAGCATGTGCACCTCTCTCACGCATTTCTTATTATAATGTCATTTGGGGCTTTACGAGAGCAATTGGTTCCATATGGGCAATTTCTCTCATGCATTAGGAATGTAGATATCGTTCGAATACTGGGAACGGTTTTTCGACCAGTTGTTAATGAAACCATAGTACGAAGGAATGCGGCTTTGTTACAAGGAATATTTAAAGAATGATATAGAGTAATGCATTATAAATAACAGATCGTAAACAACAGGCCGAATAATCCACAGCATGATAAGTCCCTTTACAATTTTCTATTATAGCCCACAGATGAAATAGATTTGTAATTTATGTTTACAAATGTGATAAGAAAAAGAAAAAACAAAGAAATTATAAAATCAATGTGACCATGCCAGCAATGATAATATTTATGCAAAAAAATAACATGTGTGTTGTTTGTAAAGGAGCGTATTAATGTGAATAAAGAAGCGTGAAGGAATGAGAAAGAGAGGATATATAAGGAAGATAATTTGCAAAAGCGCCTCTCTGCTGATGATAGATAGTTCAATTATAAATCAGAAGAATCTCTAGAATGTTATGTAACCAAGTTTTTAATTGTAAATTGAATTTTGTACAAAGTTTTTATTAGTAATAACGACGAAGTAATATAAAATGATATTACGTTGTTTTTTAATTTTATATAGATAATATAAAATGGAAGGGAGAACTTCGTTTTTATAATGCCTCGTATAAGCCCCTGGCGTGAGATAAAATATGACAATTATATATTATGCTCGCGCGGAATTGGGTCGCTGTTATCATGTTTCCTAGACCCATTAGCGCAGATTTTCGATGCTGTTTGACAAATTTTATTCGAATTAGGTGACCTCTGATATATTATACATACATTATAGTGTAAAATATTGTTTTTAAATAATTTATGAAGTGAGATATCGCCGAGATTAGATAATTGAATGAGAGGGGGAGAAAAAAGAATGTTTACGAACATAAAGAAATGTGTGTATGTGATTTGCGCGCGCGCGTATGTATGTATGTATGATTGTGTGAACGAAACAAAAGAGAGAGAATGCGAGAGAATGTCTTCTTTTGCAGCTAAAAAGACAAAGAGAGAATATGGGGCTCGTTGAGTGGAGCCATGGTGGCCAATTGCGTCAGTCGCATAGTACAAATATGACTTGTACATAGAAACCTTACTCCCTAACTAATTGGTTAATTTACTCACGCCCACACTCACACTGTATCTATAGTATTTATTACCTGGGTAGCAATGTCATTATTGGGATTATTTTATTATTATTATTATTATTATTATTATTATTATTATTAATTATTAATTATTAATTATTAATTATTATTATTATTATTATTATTATTATTATTATTATTATTATTATTATTATTATTATTATTATTATTATTATTATTATTATTATTATTATTATTATTATTATTATTATTATTATTATTATTATTATTATTATATTACGAAATATAGTTTTATGTGTATATATCTATACATACATACATACATATATATATATATATATATTATATATATATTCAATATACGTGTTTTAAATTTATATAGCAAGCATAGTGGAAGCGTGCCTTGTTAAATGTTCTCTAATGTTCTAAAGTTTAATTATTGTACTGATATTCATAAGTTGTGTGCGCAAGTACATGTGATAACATATCGGTGACCAAAATATTACACAATCTATGAAAAATTGTATAAAAGATGTTCGCAAGCTTTTTTTCCATATTATCCGATGTAATACATAAATGATTAATGAGCTTCTAGAAAGGTGCCTATATCTTGAGTGAGTTATTTTTTACACACAAGGATAGTGTTACCATTAAAAACAAGGTCTTATTTCTTATGGCATGTATATTCACATTAGGTATACATCTTTCAGTTCATACATTAGATAATAATTACAATATGTTACCATGTTATGTAACAATATGGTACGCTTAACACGATCCCTAAGAGTGTACCAACTTGAATAAAATTTTGGACTGAAGGATTAGCAAATTTCTGCTATGCTTGCAATATATACCTATCCTCATTCTTATACTATGTTCAATGTATAAACAACCAAAATGTACGTGTGTATCCTGTACATGCGATTCTTCCTGTCAATCAAAAATTATAAATCAAAAATTATAATATTTTTTTAATTTAGAGTGACCTCATTCAGTTGAAGCCTATAATAAATTTATTTTATTTTCCTATCACCAGCATAAGCTGCACATATGCAAATAGTAATTTTCAATTCTTATATATAAAAAATGATTTTATGATATTTACTTTGTTATTTTAGCATGATATTGTGTGGATATATGTGTACACCTTGATTATTTGCACATTGGACATAGTCCAAGGCAGCAAACATAATAAAATTGATAGTGACGAGGTTAACAATGAGACTAGAACGTAAAGCATAGTAATGAGACTAGCAACAAGCAAGCATTCACAGCAATGGTGTATTGTGGCACTAATCTATTAAGTTGTGCTTTTATAGAAAATTTTTATGATACTTTATTGAGATCTCTTAATTAATCTAGTAATCTAGTCTCCTAAATCATGCTTACTAGTAATACTTTCAACAAAGTATATTTCCTTTTTTATTTGGTTAATGGCCTCATCTCTATTTTTATTCATTGTGTTTGCAGCCTTCGCTTATATGGTTATACTTGATGCAACAACGTACACGTATTTAACAATTTACATTCGCTGTTAAAAACAGAATAGAACAAATCAAAATAAAAAGAAATATATTTAAATTTTATTCATTTAATATAAAGAACAACACGTCATTGCATCTTGTACAACTGTAAATTTTAATAGGACCACAATTTCCTGATATTGAAATTACATTCGTATAAACGTGTTAATATGACGAAGTATAATTTATCACATGTTTTTATATTCTATATAATGTTCTATACTATTCATGCTATCAACTTGTTCAAATTGATGCTTGGAACAGACTAGCAATGCATATAGGAATATATATATATATATATATATATATATATATTTTTTTTTTTTTTTTTTTTTCATATATTCTAATTTTGATAAAGTACAGACTAGTATTCGGTTAATGTATATGGCATTTCTGGCAAAGGATTCTCTAAGCCATGGTTAATGCCATATGGTCTTAAATGATATATTAAATATTCAAGAACATACATCATATTCGGCGAGACATAATGAAATGATATCGCACTATCAGAACAGCAGTCGAGTCCATCTTTGGTGTCATAATAGATGTATTTCCAATACCAAAAACTTTTATCCACATGATTAGGTATCAAATGATGCTCTGGCACAAATGGAAAGAACCTTCCACGACCATGCGAGTCTCTAGTATCCATCGCGCGAACACCAATTTTTTCTAGACACTTTCCCATTTCAACATCCTCTGCACCACCATTATCAGCACGACACTTGGTTTCGTCAGGAAGACCTTCAGTTACAAATTTACGAAGACCTTCTTTGCTAACTACGTATCCAGCACCTCCACTCATATATCCTTGCTTTACAAAAGGTTTGAATCTACATCCAAAATACAATGGCATATTTGGGTTGTAAGACAATAGCATGTAACGTAGATTCTCAACCACAACGTACCTGGAATTGTCGATTACATATGTGTTTAACCAAAATATTCAATATGAAATATGTTATTCTCTCTAATCTTAAAATATGAATCACAATTGTGATATATAGATATAATTTATAATATAAAATATTTTTATGGAATGAAAGTAAATGAAGGTGAATTCACAAATTTTACTAACGTATCATCGTCAGCCTTCATGAACCAATCTACTTGATCTTTGTACTTTTCATAAGCATATTTAAATGCTTCTTTGGTTTTAGCCCACAGATTATCTCTGCCTTCTTTTACTGGCAGTACTACAGTGGGTAAACTTAGATCTGGAAAGAATTAGATATTATATAAATATATTATAATTTTATTTTATAAAAATTGTTCTCTCATAAAAGAAGCTTTGAAATCATCCCTAGTGAAATAGATTTTTATATATTTAATTTAATTGCACTTGTTGCATAGAAATTGTTCTCTCATAAAAGAAGCTTTGAAATCATCCCTACTGAAATAGATTTTTATACATTTAATTTACTTGCACTTGTTGCATAGAAGTTATATATAATGGATTATTGTTACAGAGATGAATTGTTGTTATACAACAGATAAATATTGAAATGAAGAAAAAAGAAATAAGATAAAGTAAAACAAAATAGTTATATCATTTTTAATATTTCATTATATACCTTCTGCAGAACTCATGAATAAAAGAATATTACAGCGTTTTCCCCATGTGGCTTTTACATGCCGAGCCTTGCTTTGATGATTTTTGGGGCCAGTCATAATCCAACAAAGAACACGAACTTTCTTTGCTAATACTTGCGCTACCTTATCTTCTCCTTTATGAAAATCTTCATTATCACTATGAAATTTCACTTCTATCTCAGGCCCTATCTAAGGTAATATACAAAATATATGTCTGTCATACTTTAATAATATATTTAAATAATGACATAGAACAAATGATTAAAGTATAAAAAAGTAACCTCTGGCTCGAGTTCTGAATAATGATGCGGATCCCTTATCAGAGCAGAACTCCCAGGAATTCGTGTAAATATATTAGATACTTCTCCAGTAGAAGAAAAAAGGAGGCATGCTGTTAAAAAGCCAATGATTGTGCCAACTGAGAGAGTTATTACAAAACGGCGTCCACTTCGTCCACCTAAACACAAAGTTTTCTAATTGTTCATTTTATACATTATATAAATACAATAATTAATTTTATATGTTGTTTAAAATATATTAACATTATTGGATAATGAAAATCTTCATTGAATACTAAAGTATAGATAAATAATAAACAATATATATTTACCATCAAAACTTGGAAATCGTTGCTGAACCATGATATTAAATAAAAGAGTTGATTATCTTAATAAAGAGATAAGCATTGCATATATTCTGCACAGCATTTGATAATATTTATTTTTTCTCCTTGTACAATAGTTTATTTACTGATTATTTAATGATTATATAAAATCATTATGTTTTGCTCGTTTATAATTATCTGGAATATTTTGTAAATAACACATACAATTACTAATTATTGAAACACTTTTTTTTAGTCATTATAACATAGTTCAAAGTTAAAACACAGTTATTATATTCTCATAAAATAAATAAATAAATAAATAAATAAATAAATAAAATGCGTACATTTCTTCAGTTTTGAAATTTTTGCAAATTTTGATAATATTCTACAATGTAAAAGAAAAAAAAAAAAAAAAATGAGAAAAGAATGTTAATCGTTGGTTCTGTCGGCTTATCTTATCTAGCCTACTTATGATATGACTTTGTTACTTTATTACTACACCATTCCACGCGTTTTCATGCCTTCCCTTCCGTCCCAAATTTTTGCTCCCGTCACAATATTTTTTAGTACGTATACTCGATGTCACATCATTATTTACATTGAATAGTAACGATAGTATTATACTTTTAAATAAATATTATAATTAATAATATTATTAAAATAATATTTAAAATAAATATTATAAAAAATATTTTTAAAAATAATTCTATAAACTATATCGTCCAGTGCAAAAAGTTAAAAATACTGAAAAATTACAGAATTCTGATTCTCGTAATATTTTTGGATGAATGGAGATAATCAATGTTAGGACAAGTATTTTCTTATCAAATGTTTAAATACTTCAAACGTATAACTTTTACAAATTTCCATTTACTACTATACTATCTTATCACTGTGGTGATAAGTTTGATTATATGTATATATTCTTCTTATTTTTTTTAATGTACTATATTGCTCTGATATTGTAAACTACACAATAAAATTTTACATTATATGACTACAAATACACTTACCTTCTAATAATAGTTTATGTTTTAATATTTATTAAAATAATATATAAATACTACGTATTTGCTGAGAAAATTCAATGTATTATAGATTATTTACATGCAATAAATAGCACATATTAAATCTTTATTGAAAATAGATATCAAATTTTCTACTATACTCTTTCATTTTGTGGAAGAATACATTTATCTTCCATTCTTTTATATTGATAAAATAGCTGATATTCATTTGTTTTAACAATAAACTGTTTTATTCCGAAGATCTATATAACTATTATAAATATATTATTTTAAATTATATTATTTTTGTTGTACATTTATTGAGTTATCAAATTACCAAAAAATGATATATAATTAAATTTTAATAATAATAGAATTTATTTTTATAAAATAATACGGTATATACCATAGTTCTTTTCACTAATACAGCATACAACAAAACTTTTACCTGATTAAGCATACAATTGTGCTTATTCTAGCAGAATCCATTGCTTAACTATGTGAAATATTACCAATATACAAGTAAAGGTAAAATATAAGCTTCCATATATAAATAGTTTTGTATATGTGCATTATTAATATGTTACGTATAATTTCTCTTATGCAATATAATGCTTGTATTCACATACATACAATATAATTTATGTTGTTCATATATGTTTAACGCAAGGTCATGCATGGACAGCTGAATGCATATGTGCACAAATGCATTAGCAGTGAGCAAATGTAACTAAAGGGAGATGACTCAGCTGATTTTGCAACATGCACTAGAACATATTTATATATATATATATACACATTTTACTGTTGCTAAATAAATTTTCATTGTTATTAATTCAATTTTATAATTTTTCTTAGTAGAAATTGTGTGTGTGTATACATATATATATATATATATATATATACACACACACACACACATACACACACACACACGAAAATGTATCAAAGATTTGTCAATTAATTAAACTATAATTTTTACTACCTTTTTCACATTAAAGACATACATCAATAATGTTTATCACACAATTATGAACATTAAAAGTCTATATTAAAATTGTTTACAATCTTATTATTATGAAGTATTAAAAAAATGATTATATTACAAATTATAAGGTAATTTATGAGCATAATTAAAATATACGTACCATATTAAAGTGTTTACACATTATGCTAATCAATCGGTCCATAGTGATTTGATTTATGATCATTCAATTTTATCCACTCAGGTACACGGACTTATTTCATGAGAGAAGTTAATAAAAAAAGACATGTTTTTCTATATTTTCAATGGCGAATGAAGAGCACCATAATCACAAAAATGTTTACCTCGCTGCATGATTCTTGATGTGACGTGACAATAATACTGAAATTAATATTGCATTTGTATACATTGCATGCACTTTACTCGTTCTGATTCTTATATACATTGTACACTTATATTCGCATTAAAATTTTCGAATATTTATTACATAATACGAAATATAGATGTTTATCATTATTTTTATTGAAAAATAAAATTATTATAGAATAAAACCAACGAACAAAGAAATAACCAACTTATGCCCACCGTCGCAAGCATCTGCCGGCAACTATTAAATCTATATCGAAAACATTGACAAAATGAATGAAAGACTAGAGAGGTTTCTTCTGTTATAATTTAGACGTCTTTTTTCATATATAGCAAATATGGCATTATGATTGATTCGCATTACATTTTAGCTTGATAAAAATTTAATAACATTATTAATTACATGCTTTATTTATTATATGAATTAATAGAGTTATTTAAATTTTGGAAAGTATTATAGACTAATGATAATCAAATTTTTACAATTTACCGCGTAGTATTAAGCCAATCAGTATGTACCATTTATTAGTCATTAAAAATGTTGATAAATATACAATTTTCGTACCATATTTTATTATTAAAACAACAAGTTTTTCAAATTGCATGATAATGTAATTACTTTCAGTAAAAAATATTTTTGTTTTTCCAAAATTTTTTTGTGCATGAGGGCGCTACTGAAATTATATACAGTTTAATCTCAAATGGCTATAAGCATACAATATCGTTGGCGTATCTATTATTGATATTAGTAATGTTTGGCTTGAAGAATCGATCCTCTGTAGATTATGAAAGTCGATGATTAATAAACGATAAGTGAAAATGAAAATAATGCAAATATATTTGGATGAATTGAAATTCGTAAACTATATTTCAAATACAATAATACGTTAATCTTGTAGTAATTCATGTGTGTAACTAATTTTTTGATTAAACTATTTGTTTGCATTTTATATATTTGTTCTAGTAAATAGATGTTCAATTTGCGGTATTAGGTTATATATATAAAATGTATATTTTTGAAAGAAGATTAAGTTTATTTATGCTAGTACTAGGTGAGAATTTTTAGTATTCCAGTTTAATATGAATTAATACAAAGAAAAGGATGATTTATAAATTTACAATTTTAATAATTATTAATATTATTTAGCTTCAATAATAAGTGTATTTGGACAGACAGACGAATGTGCTGTACAAATAAAAGCTGAGGATAATGTCTCTGATAATGATATAAATGCTATTCAAGAAGTTTTAGAACCAACGACAAATGTGTCATTAGAAAATAGTTCTATACTTAGTACAGCAAAAGTAAATTGTTTAACTGATAAGACTTATGGATCAGTGGAAGTAAGACAGTATTATGAATTACTTATCAATAGCGATAAATTTTAACCCTGTATAATTTTATTTAATATTGCTTATAGTTAGTCAATGCAACAAGATTTATGGAATTGCTGATCTTAGAACCTGGACCATCGAATCGAACTAGAAATGACAAGGATGGTAGACAACAACCAGGAACATGCGTGCTAATTTTGTTTTATGCAAGATGGTGTGTTTTCAGTAGTCAAGCAGCACCACATTTCAATGCATTGCCAAGATCATTTCCTCACATAAAATGTATAGCTATAGATGCAATAAAACATCAAAGGTATGTAATTAATGAACCGCAATTTTAAATATACAATATCTACTAAATTATTTTTTTTTTTATTTGTAGCTTTAATGCACAATATGGAATAGTAGGAGTACCAACATTGATGCTAGTACATAATGGAAAACCCATAGCTAAATTTAATGGCACTGTTTACACATTGAAGTTATTTGCAAAATTTATTACACATCTTACTATGTTTCAAACAAGTGGTTCTTTATTTGTTACATTTGCAGATTTCAGTGGTCCAGTACCTAGCACACCTTCCAATGAAACTGATTATTGTTTAGTACTATCATGGGTTTTCATTGCTGCATGTGCTTTATATTTCACATCAAAAAGCAGATGGTGGCAACAGTTCATTGAATTAGTTCAAAATACATGGAGAGAAAGTAATGCACAGCACGAGCATGTAGATTAGATTTTTTTGTAGATAAAATAAATATGTTCATTCTACTAAAGAAGATTAACTAAGAATAATAGTATTGTGATATTTGATATTGATAAGTAAAAATATATATCTTCTTTAAAAACGAATAATATACCGATTATTTTACTTTTACTACAGTATATACTAATTATTCAATTTTTTTTATTCCATGGTCATGACTATAGAAGTAGGAAGTATTTCGTGTAAATTTATATAATTTAATATCTTTTTTGCATATACGTAATAGTTACTATTTGTACAAATTTACTATCGTATATCAAAACTTGGATTACTGATAATTTTATTGCGCATTTTTTATCAATTGAGTATCTAAATAATGATAAAAATTATTTATAAAACCATAGAATGTTAGGAAATGTTAAATATTACGACAATTAAGATTGATAAAATTCATATACTATGATTTTGATATCGAAAAAATTTACATCATGTTTTCATTTGTACTTTTAATATCAGAAGAAGCTACATTATGTTTTTGTTTTGATGAACATGAACTTGACTTCGATAGTTACGCATCGGACTCGCGTTGTGCTTGTAATGGCCGACTTCGCGATTCACTTATCATTTCCCTAACTTCATGATTGTTGTGTACGGCATTTGTTTGCGCTGAAGTTCGTCTCTAATGGGTTTGTTATTACCGTTGATGCCGGTTGAAAGTGGTGATTCTTTTTGAAAACAGAATAACTACAAATAAGTGGACTTTTTACAAGAAAGCTGACATATCAGGTCAGATAAAATGACTTTGTTCCGTGCTTTTATAAATTTAGATCGTGTACATTTTTTATCGTTCGACGTCAGGTTAGCTCCTCTATAAAAAATTGTGTGCAAATCTAATTTAAATTTAGACTAGATTAAGAGACATTATTTGAATACAATTAATAGATAAAAGATTAGATAATTTGTTATAAAAAAGAGTTATAAAAAAAAGATGGGATCATTGAATCTAATTTGCCCGATGTGCTGTGGTGAAACATTTAACGATCCACAGTCATTGAAGTACCACTTGCTCAGCATGACGGACAATTTGTATTGTCCTGGATGTTCGCAGCGTTCAGATTCGGTAATGGCGTTGATACAGCACTTGGATCGATGTGGGCAAGACTCAGAACAGGAAATGCATCAAGATACTGAAGAAAACTTGGAACAAGAAACTTCAAAAGGAACTGTCACAGCTTCAGAAGTTTTAATGGTATATTATGTTTTAAACTTATGATACAAAAATGTATAGTCTTATGCCAATATTATTTTATATTTATCATTTATGAAATTTGTTCATTTGTTATTGTATATATTTTAAATACATCATGTATGTGTTGCTTTATTTCAGGATACAAATATTGAACAGATTAATCAAACTTTTCTAGCAACTGTAAATAATAATGGTATTATGATAGTAGGAGAATCTGAAACTATTCAAGTTGATGAAAACGGTGTGTAACAATTTTCTTTCATGTACATTTATTTTCTTCTATTGAATATTATTTCTGACACAAACACCAGGAGACATTAAAGTAATAGAAAAGATGGATACAGACAAATCACAAGTAGATCATAATTCACTGGACTTCAAGATGACTGAAAAATTAAACAGTATTGTTAATGAAACAGAAGAAAAATCTTCAACTTCAAATTCATTAGTGACTCCATCAACATCTGGCACAGAAGATAAATCGACAGATAAAAATATAATTACCATTTTATCCAGTGGTTCTGAACTTTTGGATGGAGATACTAGTGCCTTGATAAATATGGACCATATAAATGATGTTGGTGAACTTGATGAAACTGGATTACTTCGCGTTAAACAGGAAATCTGTGAGGTAAAAGTAGAGGAGGTACAACATGCTATTGTCTTTTATATCTTCGCACGTGCATGCATATGATTGGAGTCTCCATATACTTTATAATACCTATTTTTATTCCTTCAATCTATTTGTTTAAAATATTTTTTTTAAACATTGATAATGGCATTTTCTATCTATTAATTTCAGAGTTTATACATCACAAAAATGGATGTTTCATTAGAAAAGTACCTTTAAAATATCACAAAAATAGTATTTTCAATAATTTAAGTATGAATATTAAAGTATTAAGTTTATATTTTTATTGGTAGCTTTAAAGAATACTATTTTTTGTCACAGCTAGAACCAGAAGCAGTTTATAGTTGTACAAGTTGCGACATGAGCTTCAATTCTGTTTTGGAACATATAAAACAGTTTCATGATGGTCAAGAAGTATTGCTTGAAATGGCAGAACAATTAGATGATTTATCATCCGTACCCACGACTTCTGTTCTCCCAGATGAATCTGAAAATGATATTAATACACAACCTCAAGCTATGAATACCCTTTGTACCGAAGAATGTGTAGATAGTGAAGGAAGATTATATACTAGAAAAGTAGTTCAAATAGAAAGATTTTGGGATAGAACTTCAATTGCAATACCACCGACACAATCTACGAAGGCACCGATGATCGAGAAATTTTTTTCTAACGTAGAAGGCGTGAAAGTACAGTATTTTTTGAATAATAAACTATACAATATGTAACTATACAATATAATAGGACTATACAATATCATAACTAAATAACATCTGTAACGATTTAACTTATATTTTATATATCAAGGTGAGAGAGAAAAGAATAGCTCCCACATCGGTCAGAATGTATAGATGTAATCAGTGTCTACAGCAATTCACAAAATTAGCAATTTTTCGAGAGCATGCGTGTCTTCGTGGTAATAATCGCTGTGATAGTTGTGATCAAACTTTTGCAACATCAAAAGCATTACAACTTCATTCAAAAATACATGAAGGTGAACCTGATTCTAATCAACGAGTGTTTGTATGCACTACATGTGGTACTGAGTTTTGTTCGCACAAAAGCTTAAGATTACATTCTCGAATGCATGCGCCAGTGAGAGCACGACACGTTGATGCACCAGAAGGAACTCTCGATGCAACATTTACATGTCCTGAGTGTGGTAATCTTATCTTTTGTGTAAATATTAAATAACAAATTGTATTCTTTCATTAAGTATGCTGTTAACCATTTACAGGTAAAACATTATCAGAATCATATAAAGAAGCACACATGTCACTGCATACAGGTGATTCCGTAACTTGTACAGTTTGTAATAGAAAGTTCGACTCTGCTGATAGTTTGGCGATGCACGCTGCAGTGCACACTGAATTGAGTCAATCACACTCTCCGACTCCTCCTATAGGTGAAGTGAATGAATCCATTGAAAATCAAAAACCCTATCAGTGCCAACACTGTGGTCGAAGATTTACTAGACCACACGAGAAAGTAAAACATGAGCGTATTCATACTGGAGAGAAGCCCCATGTCTGTGAGGTATGTGTTATATCTCCTTTTTTCTCTTTATATTTTGTTTTTTCTTTCGTTAATTTGAATGTAATATTAGCGTAAAAAATGTTTATAAAGAAACAATTATTTTTCTCTTATTAGGTCTGTGGTAAAACCTTTCGTGTTTCATACTGCTTGACATTACATATGAGGACGCATACAGGAGTAAGACCATACGGATGTCAACATTGTGGCAAAAGGTTTAAAGCTTCCTCGGTGTATAATCATCATTTACTTACGCACGGAGAAGAACGTGCTTATACGTGTCCCTACTGTCCAAAAACTTTTAAAACTCGAGTTCAATTAGCTGGTCATAAGAATAGCCATACGAAGCCATTCCGTTGTACTGAATGCTCCAGACCTTTTGCATCTCTATATGCAGCAAGAGCACACATTCAAACACATAAAAAAGATAATAATTTAAAATTTAGTTGTTATATCTGTGGCGCGTCTTATGGTAGAGCATTCGCTTTAAAAGATCACTTGAAACAGCACGGTCAAGATACATTGATTCCACCTGAACCTGCACGAGAGGAAGAAGTACGCGAAGGTGATAATTTTTTGTTTACAGAAGAGGATATGGAAGAAGATAAATTAATTATACCATCTTCTATAACTGTCGCACAATCTTCTGGAGCAGAAGATACAGATTAAAATTGTGATATCTAGTCGGTAAATTGTTTTAATTTGTAGTTTGCTGTTTCATGTGTGTTTATTCGTTTGGGAACGAAACGATTGGATTCCGTCTAATTTCATAGTATTTAAATACTATTAGCATTAATTTCTCTTTAAAATTTTTGTAAAATTTATAATTCTTACAAAAATGTTATAATGTAATATAATTTATAACTCTGATTTGTGATAGTAATGTAATTTTATGGTGTAAACATAATTTTGTTAATGCCATTGCATTGAACTTTTACATCAGTTTGTAAGCAAATAACAAAAGAAAATTATTTTCAAAAGTTATCGTATTTAGTTTACATCAATTAAGGGCCTTGAAGAATGTATTTTTTACTAAATTAAATTCATAAATTTGTATATGCTGATCGAGTTAAATGGAAATTTTAAATTAGATAAATGAATGATTATCATATTAAATTGTTATTTAGATAATCTATTTAACTATATTGAAAGTAAAAAAAATATGTTAGTCAGACTGCTTCTAATTTTATATATAGAATCCAATGTTGTCATCCTTTCTTCCTTAGACAATTTTATTTTTGTTGAATGATTTTTTCAATCTTCCTCATCGTTTGTTTCTTTGAGTGAGAGAAAAATATATATATTTAGACAATAATATACTAAAATTTTCTATCTTCTTTGTAGATAAAAATATATCAAGTAATATTTACTGTATTTGCATTATATATTTTCGAACTCTAAAATTCTTAGCTATGGCCTTGTAATAGATCAGTGATATATGTAACTATTCTTTAAAAAATATCTAATTTTAGAGTTGAAGCGGAACTGAGTACAAGAAAAATTTATTATTGTTATTTTATAAAATACAATAATCCTATCTACAGTACTGGTAATTTCCTATACCTACAAAATATTGTTAACAATTGCTAAAAGGATTACTTATTTCGAAAATAACTTTGAGAAGCAGTGCATTGCAAAAAGAATAAAAGAATAAAAGAATAATTCTAATCATTGAGTTCTTAATTTTACACGAAATGTTCATTATTTAAATTGTTAAATGCCTGATTTGCTATTATTTCTAGAGATACAATTAAATGAAAAATAATATAAAAATAATAAGTCATTTGTTTTTATAACAAGAGACATAAATCTGAGATTGACTGATTAAGATATAATCTAAATGAGTACAAATCAAATTTTGCTAATTATTTTAGGACAAGAATATTTATTTAATATGTTGGAAAGAATGAAAAAGAATTATTAAATGTGTACAAAAAAATAATAAAAAATAAGGAATTAAATGCCGTTGTAAATAATTGTGTTGAATAATGTCTTTGAAAATAGATCCATATTCATGTGGAATATATAATAGAAAGTTGCTTATAAAGTTTATACTTTAATAAAATATATTAAAAATCATACATTTTTCATGATAAAATTCTCATTATACCAATAAATTTAGTAAAATTTAAACGGTAATAGGTATATGTTCATTATTTGAAAGAATTGAATGAAATAATTTTTAATATGCTTTTTTTATTTTTAAGTAAAATTTTACCATAGAAGTTATCATTTTATTGGTTGAGATATAGTTTTGGTATTTCTTTTTACAGATTTAACTAATGCTTGTAATTCTACATCCAACTTTTTACTAATTTTGGATAGTTTTTTTCCGTTATCTTCCGTTTCCTAAAATTAAAAAATATTATATATAAATGTGAAAAAATTTATTTAAGATACAGTAGTATCTAATACTAACATTTACTGGAGTATCTTCGGTTCTTCTCTTTAATTTTTCTTGAATTAATGCTTCAGTGCCTTTAGTTTTTCTGTAATGAGGATCTGCAGGATCGATATTGAAATAATGCGATGTATAAAGTGCAGCAAATCTGGTGTCCTTTACATTCACTTCAAAATCATCCTTCTCAATCTCTTGTAGATTTTGTTTTTTCTTCAATCTTTTACGTTTAGATTTTGATAAATCTGCATTAGCTTCAATTTTTTTCATATTAAAATGTTTCTTATTTTCTCTCTCAGTTTCATCCATTAAAAGTAATTCTAATTCATCTGCACGTTTCGTTTCTCCATTTGTTATAGAAGAATCCACGTCGCTATTTTCTTCAGCTATTTTTTGTTTTTTATAACGTAATTGGTCATTTCTCAGTTTATTATCTTTAGAAGAATCAAAGTCAGAATCTTCCGAATTCAATATATCATCGTCGCGTAATTCCTTAAATTTCTTTAATTCTTCCTTCCTTGCTTTTTGTTTGGCCTTTCGCTTTACTAAATATTCTTCGAATGGAGTCAGATCTTTCTTATTTAATTTTTCTTTGACCAACTTTTCTGTTTTATTTTTTGTTCCTATGCCCCATGTGAATTCTAATTCAACATCTTTCTTTTTCTTTACTTCTTCGTCTTTGTCTAATTGTTTCAACAAGGTCTTATATTTTTCAATGGGATCATTAGGTTTATTTGGATCATCTTGATTTTCTGTTTTATGTGCATTATTTTGTCCACTTTCCTTATCTAAAATACGGACATATTATATATTATCATGATGTAAAGATATTTATAATTTATATATTACTGTCATGTATGACAAATACCTGTATCATCATCACTAGTTGCATTTGCTAAATAGGCTTGTAAATCATTTTCATTTAATTCATTAATTTTTCCAGAATTAAGCTTATTTGCTATTTCTTCTCTTTCTAGATTTGTTTCATCCCAAGTTAATTCTACCTTCACTTGTTGCAATGCAGTAGTTGTAAATTGACGTGGTTGATATTTTGAAAGTTCTGGTAAATCAGTACATACTTCTCGAGGTTCCTAAAGTAAAATATTTTTTTATAATACACGAAGTAAAGTTTATAATAAATAAAGATAAAGAATTTTTATACTTGATCGAATGTCATATCATTTGGTATAAATCTTAAATCTAATTTTGTTGCTGTGGATTCATATTCAATACCATCACATTCAGTATAAATTTTGTTTGCAGTTTCTACAGAATCACATTCCAACACTGCATAATAATACTTTAATCGATTTAATTGGTATCTTCTTAATTTCTCCATATGATAATCTGAGCCCTCTTCATTCTATAACAGTTAAGGAGAAACGAGTTTTATTTTTATGGAATGTTTATATGTGCTATAAATTATTGAACTTACATCACTTTTACTATGAACTTCTTCTGTTTTATTATTAACCAGTTCTACTGGTCCTTTTATTTCTTCTTCTTTCATACGTTGTAGACCAAACTCTGATGGGTAAATCTGTAATATTGACAGTTTGTAACAATTGTTAACACTCGATTTACTGATCAGTCAAAAAATTGATTTCAGCCGTTTTTCTAAGAATTTCTATTTAGAATTTCGCCGCATGTTTTCTCAAAGCATTATAATATTTTCTATTATATAGATGATCTATATTAATTATCCATTAAAAAACGTTGTTTTCCTCTTCTATTAATTCTAAGATACATGTAAGGTATATCTTAATATATTGGAACAATGTTATTTTTATGTTATTTATTATACTTATTAATAATATAATTGTTAATGTTAATCCGATGTAGTAGTTCTAGTGTTAATACTTCAATAATATGCATGCTTAAAAATAATTAATATTACCGTAATACAATGGATAAGACCACCACTGGGTAAAAATGAATTAAATAGGACCATTAGATCTATAGCACGTATTCTATCCCAATCCATATTACATATAGCTAATCGATGAGTACTTTGTTCTGTCCTTTCTGCATCTTTATCTAATTCACCCCAACCATGTTCTATATCTTCACTTTCATCTAAATGTTAAGTGAATATGTTTTTAGTTATTTATGCAAAAGTTGTGTTATAATCAAGCTGCAATAGCAAGATCATGTGTATAATACATTACCATTGTACTCAGAACTTTCTTCATCAGAAGAACTATCAGTTAATAAAACTCCTTCACCCCTGGCATAATTAACAGAAAGATCTTGTAATCTCTCTTTTATTTGATCTGTTAGTTTAATATTTTCATCTTTATTTTTTACATGTAATTGTTTCTCATTTTCTTTTAAATCTGAATCTAAATCAATTATATCTAATGAGCTATCAGTATTTATATCTATACTTGTTTCTCCCTTTGGTTTTATACGAAGAAAGTTATCCTGATCAGAAATACATTCATCTGAATCATTCTCTTTCTTTTGAATCACATTACCAATGATTTCATTTTTTACTTCTTTATTGTTATGCTTCAATATTTTTTTCTTTCTAGCTTTTTTTGTTTTGGAATTAGTCTCAGGTATAGATTCATCTTCACTACTAGTTAGTTCATAATACTTCCTAAGATTTTCCATAGAAGTTTGATTAATAGGTTTTCCACGTTTATCAATTGTATATTTTATTGCAAATTTTTTATCTTTAAACATACTTTGAAATCTTTTATCTATTTTAATTTTACGCTCAATTTTTGGAATCCGTCTAAATTTGGGATCCCTTGTAATATGTGCAAAGCGTTTATCAGTAATTGTGTCATCCATAATGACGGCTTCACTGTAAACGTATGAAATAAAATAAGAATAAAATATTTTATTAATATATTATAATATGGTTAATACATTATAAATTTAATAGTTCAAATTATCACTTATTTACTTTAGAATATAAATAAAAATCAGCTAAAGTTTTATAATTTAATGAACGAGATATCATGTAATATACAATTTTATATTTTTTAAAATTATTATAATTAGAAAATGATTTTATAATATAAAATATAGTTACCAAATATCATACGATATATGAAAAATTATTGTTTCCTTTCAGGTTATGTTTAAAAGAAGAGCTTTATCTTTAGCAACAACGTTGTTTCGTTAAATCAATTTTAAAAAGATAAATGTATTTAAACGTAGCAAAAATTTATTAATGTAAAATTTTAAAAATACGTGTATGTACTTTTCCACGTGTATTGATAGGTATGCTTGAATGTTTTGTTAAACAAGGTAATAGAAACGTAATGGCGTTTATGTTCTCCTGTTGATAAAGACGATCGTTACAATATCGATCGAAAACATGTAAACTAACCGAACCATTCTGAATATTAATTTCAAATTTCCTACTAGATGGAAGTACTCGTTGAATTTAGTCGTCGAAACAAAATTTAAAAATTTGTAATTTCTGCAAAATTATGAAAATGTGAAGTAATTTAAAGACATGTGCAAATTATTAATACTGCATAATTTGTTAATGAATAAAATCATCTTGATTGTACTTTCTATTGTACTTTTAAATGTATAATATCATCGAAGCAAATTATATCTAAAATAAACTTGCCTGTTTCCTATCTTGTAATAAAGACTAGTCATTTTTATTATTTTTCTGAAAATAATGCAGTCTAAAATGAAAGAAAAATATGAATATATTCGATCGAATAGGAATTGTATATTACGTATACATATAAATACATATTATATATAATATATATATCATCATATATTTAAATTACACGACACACAAATTACAGCATCTTATAAACATTATGGACAAACCGTAGGAAATCAAATAGGAAATGTGCACGAATGTTCGATCCCACTCTTCTCTCTCTCTCTCTCTTTCTTCCGTTTATGTTCTTTTTTCTTTTCACATAACATGAGGTATATCTCGTATATTAAAATTAAAATAGATCGGTACGGCGAACGAGTCCGAATGTGAAATTCGTTTGCCTGATGAGAGAAGTACATAATAAAAGATGGTCTAGAAGTTGATACCATATTGGATGAGGTAAAATAGGCTTAAGTTATCCATGTTTTGTTCGATAACGATTCTTTATAATAACGAGCGGTTAACGAGAAATGCGATAAAAAAAGATAGATATTATAAATACATAGATTGCGAAAATTTCAATTGTTTTTCCTTATTTTTCTAACGTTCCATCGCAAATACGCATAGTGTAATATAAAGCGCGTATATGTTCAATTATTTTTGATTACTTTTTAATTAGTTCATACGAGATATGTAATGCGAAACACTACGCGCTGTATATTATACACATACGATGCAACTGATGCGATAACAACGATCGACATATTTTCGAATAAACGAATAAAAAATCAATAAGATTTGCCGAAAAATCTAATAGATCAGACTTAGTGCGATTTATTTCATTATCTCTTCTAATTATTTTCTAGGATGCAATTTCGAACAATTTTATAATAACCAACAGACATACGTGGAATAGTTAATTTTTAATATTTGTTTAACATTTACCAGAGAGCGACACCGTATCGTATTAAAGAAAGCTGATAGTTATTATACAGATATTAGAATGTAGAATTAATTTCATGGAACAGTTTGTTTATTATCATGCTTGAAATAAATTGTCGGATTTGATTTAAAAAAAGGATTACAAAGGATCGATTACGAAAAATGTTGAAATTCGATATAAATTTTACCTCGTTGTTTTTAACGTGAAAATTTGTGTTCTCTTTATGAATGAATTCTTCGAGGCCCTTTCGTCTTATCACAAATGCACGTTTCTCGCTGCTCGCTATTAGACGAAGTTTGCGATATCGCGTTCTAAAATAGAAGAAACTCTATAGAAATAGATTAATAAAGAAGAGGAATAGGGCTTGGCGGAGGGTTCAAAGTACACGGAGTAGTATCCTCGTTGTAATACGAGGCGACGCTATACAAATAATATTACACTAACTACAGTGGGTATTAAGTATTTGCAATGTTTTCTTCTTGTTGTCTTCTTGCTTCTTTTTATACACGTATACATACACAAGTGCGTAGATTTAATTTTAATTTTAATAGAGATACGAATCACGAAACTATATATACCGATACGTTCCGGAACGTGTGTGTGGATGTGTGTATTCGTGTGTGTTGTATTTGTGTGTATAGGGTAGTTCTCTCCATTTATTATTCGTACTCGATGCATCCTTAAAAGACGTCTTAAATCTCTAATAATCGTTAAAACCTCTTAAACGAATTTGTACATGAGGCATCACGGGATATCAGACGTTTCGCATCGACATACACGACTTTTTTTCTTTTAGTTTTTCCAACGTGCCTGGGCCTTTCCGATTTTAATAGTTACAAGGACATACACGATGTTCGTTCTAAGTTCACGACATTTTTCTAATTGCTTAATTGTTTTTGAATTTGGTTGACCATTCCTTTTTTTCCTCTTACTAATATTCGTGAAGATAAAACAGTGAAAATAAAATGTTATATAAATTTTTTTTCTTTATTTTTATAACGTTTCGCAAACATAGCACTCGTAGTACATTAGAACGTGAAACGCTTGGAAAATATCTGGACCACAATCCGCGTTGATTATATTCACACGTAATAACGTTGAAATAGTTGTTTACGTCGGGAAATAATCGCGGCGAAAGGAAGCTTTGGCTTCTCTTCTCGAAACCCTTTACACCTTAGGTCACGTTGTCCTAACCTAGTTTACGATCGTAAAACACTTCGATTCGAAAAGTAAGATATCCGAGACGAGATATCTACGGCTAAAGCTTGAACGGAGAGGAACGTACTGCAATATCTGCATCGTCCCTTTCTCTCTCTCTCTTTCTTTCTCTCTCTATTTCTCTCTCTTTTTTCTTCTCTCTCTCTTCTGTGAGAGAGAACACATAACGCTGTGACGAAATATTTCCTCGCAACCACCCACACCATCGGCGTACAATCACGAAGGCATACGTTTCGTCATAACCTCCTTAGCCGGTGAACAAATATCGAGGTAAACCACACGTTGTTGAACTCTCTCGATAGCTTCGTCCCAAGAGTCGAAGAAAATGTTCGCCAAGTTCCGTTAGCCGCCATCTTTCTTCTTTTTCTTCTTCTTCTTTGGAGACAAGTAAATTCAAATTTTTCGAATCATTCGGAAATCTTTCTTTTTTCTTTTTTTTGTTATTTTTTTTGTGGTCCAGCCACAGCGAGCAAAAGCCGAACAAAATATTACGTTCCCGATCTTACGCGATTGTCGATGGAATATATCGATATCTGTTAAAGGATATCATATTTTGGTGAAGCGTTCGTTTTACACGCCATGCTATGTATAACAATGTAATAAATACGATGAGAGAGAGAGAGAGAGAGAGAGTGAGAGAGAGAGAAACAAAAAGAGAGAGAAAGAGAGAGAGAGAGGAGAGAAAGAGAGTGAGAGAGAGAGAGAAACAGAAAGAGAGAGAAAGAGAGAGAGAGAGAAAAAGAAAGAGAGAGAGAAAAAGAGAGAGATAGAGAGAGAAAGAAAGAGAGGGTAAGAGCATACATACATAGAGTTATATTTATGTACACGCACGCGCGCACGCGTGTGTGTATGTGTATATGTATATACACGTAATGAGAATCTTTTAAATTAATTAAGTGTCGAGAATGAATATTTGTCCGGCCTCTCTTGCAAACGTGGTAATAGTAGTAATAGTAATAGTAATAGTAATAGTAATAGTAATAGTAGTAGTAGTAGTAGTAGTAGTAGTAGTAGTAGTAGTAGTAGTAGTAGTAGTAGAGTAGTAGTAGTAGTAGTAGTAGTAGTAGTAGTAGTTGTAGTAGTAGTAGTAGTAGTAGTAGTAGTAGTAGTAGTAGTAGTAGTAATAGTAGTAATACATACATACATACAAAACAAAGCGATCGTGCATTCTCGAAATCTTAAACGCGAAATTTTCATAATACCAAGCTTTCGAAAATTGAATTTTTCTTGAAGCAAGGCGACCGATTTTGTTTTTTTCTCTTTTATTTTCCTTTTAATTTCTGTCGATGTCGAATTACCTTTAATTTATCTACGTAAGCGGTGCAATCGAAACGACAAAAAAATCCATTGAGAGTAAAGATCGTGATCATCTTGCAATCGTTTGGAATAAATCGTTTCGTTGAGATACAAAGCGAGTAGGTATATAAGTACTCGAAAGTACTCTTCCTTTCGTGTCTCCTAGAACAACGTTTTTCGATCATTCTTCTGAATGATTCGCAAGAGACTAGACTTACAGATGCAACAACGATAACGATCTGATGCTCTTTGAAATAGAGTAAACATTTTCTTTTCGGTGCGTATTTTCGTTCATTATTAATATGAGAAAAGAAGTTACCTGATTTCAAAAAGCAGGTATACATATATTCATTTTTGTGTATCAGTGTTTATAAATTATTCGTTCTTGTTTTTTTTTTTCTTTTTTTTCGACATAGATAAAATTTATTTTTCTAGTAGTGAATTTATTCGAATATCGGAACGACAAGTATCGTTTGATTTTTCGAAAAGAGAGATCGAAAAGTATCCATTCTAAGGACAAGAAAAAAGATCGAAATGATTCGACGATGGCCCTTTCTCCTTTTCACTCGTTGCTTCTACAATCTACAAAGTAACGTCTCGAATTTTTTTTCTCTATCAACGAGTGAGGAAGCGCCTTCGATATATTTTCTTTTTTTTCTTTTTCAATTCTCTTCGTTTCGCCGAGGAGTTCGTCTACGTAACCATGGTAGGTAGTTCACTTGGTGTGCTGCTTCGGTAGATGTCGCTTCATGTGCAACGCGAGATGGTCGCTCCTCGCGAACGATCGCTCGCAGACAGCGCATTTGAACGGTTTCGCGCCAGTATGCTTCCGATAATGCCGCGTTAATTCGTCGCTTCTCGCAAATCGCCATTCGCATTCCGGCCACTGACACTGGTACGGTTTTTCTCCTGCAAATATAATTAAAGAAGAATGTCAGATTAATTTTTTTCTTTTTCCTTACTTTTTAAACGAGAAAAACTATTATGGTTTAAATATATATATATATATATATATAAATGTAAACATATAAATATAGCATTATCTATGGTATATATTAGATTTATCGGAAAGTTCTGTTGGTTTAACGCGTCAAATTATTTTTGAATATGAAAGAGTTTTTTTTATACATAAATCGTATAAAACTTTTCGATAAACATAATAGAATATATGTATGTTAAACGTATGCATTTATACAGGATGAAATGTTTCAAATGACTGGAAATTAATCAAATTGGCTTACAGATAAAAGAATGCCGTTGAAGAA